TGGGCTTCCACATTTCTTTCTTTTTTAAAAAATATTTTATTGTGTTTTAGGTGAAAGTTTACACAGCAAGGAGCACTGGTGGAGCAGTGATTAAAGCACTCGGCTGCTAACTGAAAGGTCAGCGGTTCAAACCTACCAGCCGCTCCCAGGGAGAAAGCTGTGGTAGTCTGCTTCTGTAAAGATTTACAGCCTTGGAAATCCTATGGGGCAGTTCTACCCTGTTTTATAGAGTTGCTGTGAGTTGGAATTGACTCCACAGCAGTGGATTTGTTTTGGCTTTTACACAGCGAATTAGATTCCCATTCAACAATTCATACACAAATTATTCTGTAATGTCCCAAAGGTTTTTCAGAAGGCATGATATCATATCTATGTCTGACCTTGGATTTGATCCTATCCCAAGGCCTAAATCATTTTAACGCTATTACAAGCACATAAAAAAGTGTGTGTGGAGGTCCATTTTATGGTTATCTTCTCATAAGAAAATGTCTTAGTTATCTAGTGCTGCTATATCAGAAATACCACAAGTAGATGGCTTTAACAAAGAGAAATTTATTCTCTCACCGTCTAGTAGGCCAGAAGTTCAAATTCAGGGTGCCAGCTCCAGGGGAAGGCTTTCTGACTCTGTCAGCTCTGGAGGAAGGTCTTTGTCATCAATATTCCCCTGGTCCAGGAGCTTCTTAGCACAGGAACCCTGGGTCCAAAGGATGCACTCCCCTCCTGGTTCTTCATTGTTGGTGGCATGAAGTCCCCCTGTCTCTGCTTGCTTCTTTCTTTTATATCTCAAAAGAGATTGGCTCAAGACACAACCTAATCTTGTAGATTGAGTCCTGCCTCATTAACATAACTGCCTCTGATCCTGCCTCATTAACATCATAGAGGCAGGATTTACAACACACAGGAAAATCACATCAGATGACAAAATGGTAGACAATCACACAATACTGGAAAGTATGACCTAGCCAAGTTAACACATATTTTAGGGGGGATACAATTCAATCCACAACAGAAAATAAACAAATGAATGTCCCAATAAAACATATACACCTTTCAGATGTTAATAATCTACCACATATATACTGGTACTAGTGATAAACATTTTTATCATTTGTGATTTTAAGGTAACCAAAACAAGCATTGCTTAACCTTACACCAGGCATTAAAGCATACATTAAAATATGTATGTGTGTGTATATGTGTGTGTGTGTATACATATATATGTATATATATGTATATATATGTGTGTGTATATATATATGTATACTCTTTTATTAATCTATGTAGATACACAGAACAAAGAATTAATGAATTTACAGATGTATCCACCTATCTTGAAGCCAAAGTTGGATTTCCTATATTGGTTTTGGGGCTCTTCCCATCTCAGTATGATGGGATGAAAACAATTAACAAGTCTTCCCCATTCTGTCCTTCTAATATGGCATTGAGTTTTGTATTAGGATGGTGTTCTTTTCTCTGCCTAAGTGTGTTTTTTCGGGATAGGCCAGCTAAAGTTATCCTCCTGTTGCCTGGTTATCCAACATAAGCAAACTCTGTCCTTCTTAACATTTAATTACACTTTGTCTATCTAGACCCTAATTTAGTGTTTCCCAAACATATATTGTCCTATTGAATATTATTTAGGAGAACCATGAAAAATAAGTAAATAAGTTTGGGAGCTAAACAGGTTTCTTCCTGTATTCTCTGATACTCATGAGTTCCTTATAGGATTTTTTTGAGGTGGAGTCATTATGATGACAATATTAACAAAACTAACATATCCTAGATCATTTAGGTAAGACCTTGTAAATGAATTCTGCCACACAACTTCAGAGCTATGTTTGCATTTGTTGTTGATGACCAAAATGGTTCCCTATGATCAGGGTTGATTACCCAGAAAGCAAGGTGTGCATGGGCTGATTTGTGCTTATTACTAATCTGTGGTGAATAATTTCACATGGGTTTCATCACATTTGCTGCTTTACATATTTTACACCTGATGCGGTGAAACCCATGTGAAATTGTTCACTACAGATTAGTAAGTAAACACAAATCAGCCCATGCATACCTTGCTTACTAGATAATCTGTCTCTGTCAGAGATTATAAATTTGAAAAGAGGCTTTGATTCTGTAGGAAGGTGCTGTGGGATTGGGAGAGAGATAGGTGCCAGCCATACCTAGAAGCAGAATCTTTGATGTGGTGAAAAAATGTGCAGTCGTTCACTGCAGATGATCTGGTATGTAAGGTAAGCACTGTACTAATGCTTACCTTACTTGGCTAATCTGCCCCTGCACATGATCCTCCAAATGGTGGCGCTTAGACTTTAATATGTTGGCAAGCGTATTTGTCTGCTGTTAATTTAGGATGCCCTGATTTTAAAATAGCATTTGCTTTAAAAATATTATTACCCAATCAGCCACACAGAGGTAACAGTTAAAAATAATCTTACTTGTGGTTTAGCATATTATTTAGGGTGATGCACAGACCTCCTGTTTAAGAATCACCACATGCTTATGAAAAAGCATATTCCTGGGCTGCATGTAAGACCCAGTAAATCAGAATCTTTGGAGAGCGGTACCAAGAATACAAATTATAATCAGCTTTCTTCTGTGATTCTTGCACACATTGAAATTTAAGATTGAATGAATAGAAGGTAAAAAGGTTTTACATGCCTTTTACTATGAAGAAACAAGGTGAGTCAGAAATTCAGCTAATTAAACATATGCACACCTATGTTTTTTGCAGCACTATTCACAATAGCAAAAAGATGGGAACAACCCAAGTGCTTATCAACGAATGAATAAGTAAAATTTGGAACATACATGCAATGGAATATTACTTAACAATAAAGAAAAATGAGTTCCCAAAATATCCTGGAACATGAATGAACCTGAAGGACATTATGTTGAGTGAAATAAGTCAATCATAAGAAAGCAAATATTGTATGTTCTCATCTTTATGAAATAGCATGAACAAGTAAATATACAAGAAACTAATGTTATTTAGTAGTTGGAGCCCTGGTGGCAGAGTGGTTAAGTGCTCAGCTACTGACTAAAAGGTTGGCAATCCACTAGCCGTTCCTTGGAAACCCAATTAAGGCAGTTCTGTTCTGTCCTGTAGGGTCACTGTGAGTCAGAATCAGTTTGACGGCAACTGGTTAATGTTCTTTAGTGGTTACCAGAGATGGTGGGAGGGGGAGTGGATTCACTCTCTAGATAGTAGACGCTTGTTATTTTTGGTGATGAGAAAGGTAACACTGAATGAGGGTAAAATGTACACAGCTTGACGAAGGTAAATGATGTCACTAAAAAGCACACAAGAAAAAGGACCTGTTGGTAATTTCTATGGCATATATAATTTTGAAACAACAGCAAAAGCAACCAAAAAAAGTATGTACAGGTGTGTGTATATATATATATATATATGTAAGCGTATACGTGTGTAGGTATACGTATGTGTGTATATATACAGTTGGATGCATATGTATATGCATGTATGTGACCGTATATACATATAGTCATATATACAATGAAACACAGGGGGCACAGTTATGGATACTTCTTAGATATAATCAAACTCCTCGCAGAATTGGATCTCTGGGTTTGAAGGATTAGGACCATAGTCTCGTGGGACATCTCAGTCAATCGGCATAATATAGTTCAAAAAGTTAGGTTCTACATCCTAGTTTGGTGAGCAGTGCCTGGAGTCTTAAAAGCTTGTGAGCAGCCATCTAAGATACAACTATTGGTCTTGTCCACAGCAAAAGAGAATGAAGGAAACTAAAGACTCAAAGAAGAAACTAATCTACAGGACAAGTAATCTACATGAACCATGGCCGCCTCTACCCTGAGACCGGGAGAACTACATGGTGCTGGCTACCACTACCAACTGTTCTAATAAGGACCACAGTAGATGGACCCTGATACAATGGGAGACGAACATGGAGCAGAACCTCTAATTTCTAAAAACAAAAACAAGAAACCAGACCTACTGAATTGGTTGAGACTGGAAGACTTTCCAGGACTACTCCCCTGACATACTCTTCAAACCTTGAACTGAAACTAACCGGTGAGGTCACCTTGTAGCTAAATAACAACTTGGCTCAAAAAACAATGACTATCACCTGTAAGTACTGTGCTCCTTTAAAAAAATCATCTATATGAGACCAAAGGATCAACCATTATTTTAAAACAAAGATGAGAATATAAGGGGGCAGGGAAACTAGATTAATGGAAACAGAACGACTAGAACAGAAATAATGAGACTGTTCATGCATTGTGAAGAATGTAACCAATGTCACCAAACAACTTCTATAGAAATTGTTGAATGGGAACCTAAATTGCTTTGTAAACCTTCACCAAAAACACAATAAAATATAATTTTTAAAAAATCATTGTACAAATAATACCTGATAATTATGAAAAAAGATCAGAAAATACAGACAAGCAAAAATAAAAATTACTCATAATCATACTATCTAGAGATAGCCAAGTTAAACATTTTATTGCATAAATTATATATGAGTTATATATACGTATTGGCTTACACTGGTTATGCTATTTTGTAACCTAACTTTTTCAAAGACTATCCTTTTTTTTTTTTTTGTACTTTAAATGAAGGTTTACAGAACAAACTAGCTTTTCGTTAAATAATTAGTACACATATTGTTTTGTGACATTGGTTACCAACCCCACGACATGTCAACACTCTCCCTTCTTGACATTGGGTTTCTGTTACCAGCTTTCCTGTCCCCTCCTGCTTTCTAGTCCTTGCCCCGGGGCTGGTGGGCCCTTTTAGTCTCATTTTGTTTTATGGGGCTGTCTAATCTTTGGATAAAGGGTGAACCTCAGGAGTGACTTCATTATTGAGCTAAAAGGATGTCCGGGGGCCATACTCTTGGAGTTTCTCCAGTCTCTGTCAAGCCAGTAATTCTGGCCTTTTTTTGTTAGTCAGAATTTTGTTCTCCATTTTTCTCCAACTCTGTCCGGGACCCTCTACTGTAATCCCTGTCAGAGCAGTCAGTGGTGGTATCCGAGCACCATCTAGTTGTGCTGGACTCAGGCTGGTGGACGCTGTGGTAGTTGTGGTCTATAATTAAAGTGTATACTATTTTGAATCATGTTTTAGGTTCTATGTTCTTAATTTAAAATCCAGGGGAAAAATAAAATAAAATCCAGAGGAATGGTCTATTCACATTTCTATAAACTCTAAGACCTTAAGACAGAAGTACAGAAGTGAAATAGCACTTTTAGGGGCGTGTGCCTCATTTGTCCTCAGGAGAATGAAAGGCTTCTCCATTCCTGATTTATCAACCAGATCTGCTGACATCTTTCAGTGGTTTCTTCTGGAAACCGGCTAATCTACCTGTCTCTGGGGCTCCTCAGTCACGTGTCTGTTCACTGGCATAATGTAAACACGTATCGGGCAGCAAGGTTAACAGTTAAAGATTAAATTGTTGGGACCAAAGGTCAGGAGACCTGCCTTTAGTTGTAACATCAGAACATCTGAACGGGAGATAACACATTGTTACTTAACATCTTACCTTCTCTGAGGAAAAGAGTGAATAAGAAACAACACAGTAACAGAAGAGCCTTCCTTCCAGAAGTGCTCCAGGAATCATGCTGGAAGAGTTCTGCAGCTCTACTTTTTGGGTAAGAAATCACATGTATTCTCACTATTAACTTTCCTCAGACTCAGAACAAGTCGTAGATTAGTCTAGAGTGGCTACGAACAAGAACCAGAAAAGTTAGATGTGTAGCTGGTGTAATGCCTTAGGCTTTTTTAGAAAGGATACTATCTGGGAGAAGTAATATGTTTATTTTCTAACAAATATTTATTTTATCCCAGATTCTTTTCTAGGACTAGCTAGCTGCAAAATTGCCTCCTCCAAAGAGAAATAGGAAAAAGACTTCCAAAATCATCAGTGTTAGGAGGGGGAATTGTTGTGTTGTTTGCGGGTAGGAGAAAGAGAAGAAGGTCCATGATCAAGTCCTGTTGAGATATGATAATGTTGAAATGGTATGTTCTAGAGGAATTATCTAGCTGGCAATTAATTATACAGACTAGAAATTGAGGCCAAGGATGCAAACTTGGGCATCATAAGCACTGAGATAATTTTTGAACCATTAGAATTGGGTAATACTGTTTTTGGAAGAGAAGAAAAGGAAGAGACACCACTGAAGGAAAGGTCAGGTATTTAAAAGGTGAATCAGAATAGTATAACCTCATGGAGTCATAGAAAGTAGAGAATTTCAAGACAGAAAGAACAATGAACAGTACCAAAAGGTTTAGTGGAATGGAGAATGAGAATTTAGTGACTGAGAGAAAGTAATGACCTCCTTAGAATAGCGTTTCACAAAGTATGGTCTGCAGACTCTTAACATCAGAATCACCTGAGGAGCTTGTTAAAATCGTTTAAGAAAATAAGTGTGGTACAGCAGTTCTTTGTGTAGTACTTAGACTGGAAGCATCAGCATCACCTGGGAACTCGTTAGAAATGCAAATTCTCAGACACCACCCAAGAGCTACTCAATAAGAAACTCCAGAAGTGGGCCCACCAATCTGTATTTTAACAAGCCCTCCAAGTGATGCTGATGCAAGCTTAAATCTGAAAACTACTGGAGTAGAGATAATATCGAGGCCGAGAGGCAAGTACATAAAAGAACTCAATAAATGGCCATAATTTCTCAGTAAAATAGATTTCATTTTGGGATGCCCAGCTAGGTGGTGGAAGAGAGGGAGGTTTCAAGAAAAATGGAAAAGCTTTGATTAGCTGCTGTGGGGGGAACATGGCAATCAGACATTTGAGAGAGACATGCCTAACAGCTCACCATTTTCTTCTCTGTATAAACCTACCTAATGTGGATCTTCATCTTCAGGATGTGGGCTCTCTAACTAGACGGACTTTGGAAAGGCTCTGGTTAATGTTACCATGAATTAATTTGATGGTCACTTTTTTTATTTCTGAAAGATTTTTTAATTGAGGTACTTTTGTGAACAAGGCAGGGGGCTCTTACTGTATGTTTAACATGTCTATGCACTTCTGAGTGTATCTATGTGCCTGAACCATGGTAGGAGTATGGAATCTTTCTGAGAATGTGTTAGGGGATTATTGTGAGGATTTATTGAGAAAATAAATGTAAAGCCCTTACACAATCCCCAAGAAGTATTATTATAGTCTGTAACATTTTAGAAAAAAAATGATACCTATAGCCGTGTAAGTTTAATCAGAATGTTTAACTGCTCTATGCTTCAATTTCCTCATCTGTAAAATGAGGATAATAACAGTATCTACCTCTTTGGGTTGTAATGAGGATTGAATGAGTTAATACATGTAAGGTGCTTAGAATAGTGCAACACGGTAAGTACTCAGTAAATGATGCTGTTTTTGTTGTGGTGGTGGTTGTTAGCATTCAGAAAGTAGAGAATCTTTGCATTGTTAATCACAGCTGAGGCAGGTCAGGACTGATTTTCTGAGTTTCAGACTAGCAGCAGTGAAAGATTTGACAATTTGAAACGACTCTCTTTTGATTCCCTGGAAGACTAAGACAATTACTGCAGTGAGAAAGAGATCCACAAAGTTCCCCAAAGTTGTTTCTGTTTTTTGAGAGGAGTAGGAATGAGATAATAAAATACCTGCATAGCACTTCCCATCTTAGAAAGGACCTGGGCCCCAAGGCCTGATAGGCAGGACTTGGCTACCACAGGAAGGTAGGGCATAACTGGCGTAATCATTGAGAAATCTCTCTGGGAATTATCTGATAGAACATTTTGATTATTAAAGAATTATTATTATTAAAGAATCTGTGCAAACAGCTGTACAAAAACAGTTTAAAAATATTTACAGGAAGGGGCACAGTTTATATAGAGACTTCCTACATATATCCAAACACTTCCTGGGATTGGCTTACTGGGTTGAAAGGCTTGGGACCATAGTCTTGTGGGACAACTCAGTCAATTGGCATAACGTAGTTCATGAAGATAATGTTCTACATCCTAGTTTGGTGAATAGCATTTGGGGTCTTAAAAGCTTACGAGCAGCCAGCTAAGATACAACTGTTGGTCTCTACTCATGTGGAGCAAAAAAGAATAAAGGAAACCAAAGCCTGGAAGAAGAAACTAGTCCACAGAACTAATAGCCCATATGAACAGCAGCCTCTTCTGGCCTGAGATCAGAAGAACTAGATGGTGCCTGGCTACCAGTACTGACCACTCTGACCAGGGACACAATAGAAGGTCACGGATAGAATGGGAGAAAAAGGTAGAACAAAGTTCAAATTCCTAAAAAAGGCCAGACTTACTGGACTTTTATACAGACTAGAGGAAACCCGGAGACTGTTGCCCTAATATACCCTTTCAACTTGGAACTGAAGCCACCCCAGAAGTCACCTTTCAACCAAATAATAGATTGGCTTATAAAATAAATAATATCACCGTGAGTAATGTGCTTCCTTAAGCAATAAACTATATGAGACCAAATGGTCAACATTTACCCAAAAGTAAAGATGAGAAGGCAAGGAGGGCAGGGAAGCTAGATCAGTGAAAACAGAACAAACAGAATGAAATAATGAGAATGCTGACACACTGTGAAAATTGTAACCAATGTCATGGAAAAATTTGTATAAAAACTGTTAAATGGGAACCTAATTTGTTATGTAAACTTGCATCTAAAACACAATAAAACATTTTTAAAAATAAAGAACAAATAGAAAATCTCAAAAAAAAGTTTATAGGAAGAGAAAAATCTACCCTCACATGGCTCTGGTATAAGAACTGGTGTCCCCCAGCCCACAAGACACTTCCATTTATTGCAGAATGAGAAGAGTGGTACAGAACTTGCTGGGAGTCTGTCTTCTGTCTAACAGTGCTATTGTCCCTTCTGTGCCCAAGCTGGCCATGTGTCCTTGGGGTTCGGATCAGTGGCATTACTAGGGTTGGTGTCACCCAGTGTGGTAACTCATAGTGTGACCCTCTCCATGCTAATTACCACAATATTGTAGCTAAAACACCAGAAAATTTGACAAAATCAGCGACTATAAAAACACTGGCAGCAATGAAAAACAGTGTGTGCTTGTAGCCGTGCAGACAAAACCACGTGATTTGAAGCATCGTTGTAATTGAGTAATAATGACAGCTCTGACCAGAGTGCATTAGAAGGTGCAAAAAGTAAATTAGCATAGAGTTTTAGCCTTGTAGGCAGGGTCAGATTAACCAGTAAGCACAGTATGCACTGGCCTGTATTGAGCAAGGTACGCACAGGCTTAATTGTATTTACTTAGGTGAGCAATTTCACATGGGTTTCACCACATCTTTGCTGTGGTGGGGGACAGTTGAAATTGTGCACTGCAGATTGGTGGGAAGGCACAATTGGGCCCGTGTGTACCTTGTTTATTGAGTAATCCGGCCCTGATTGTACGTATATTGATACATGTAAGCTGGGTTTATGAAAAATGTTTTTGTTGTTATAACTAACTACAGGGATATTTTTATAAAAAATAATAAATTTCTGCTGAAACACTGCACAAAAATTTTATAGACAGTCGCTTTGGTGTCACACCCCCCCCCCGATGGTGTCACCTGGTGCAGTCTGAACCACCCACACCTCCCTAGTGACACCACTGGTTCCTACATAACCCTCCCTGGGCTGTAGGAGACTAAACATCATAGTATGCCAAGCATTCAGCCTGTCTAGAGCCTGCATGTTTGAACACCGGCCAGTGAATTCAACCAGTGCTAGAGAACTATTCTCCCCTTTGGACTGAGGAATGGTCCATCTTCTCCGTACAATTTGGCAAATGCAGTGGTGAAGTTTACTTAGAATAACAGAAAAATTCAGAATCTAGTCTTGGAGTCACAGGAAGATAGCTTTTTAGAGGCTGGGTTGACCAGATAAGTCACTAAATATCACAAGGGGATGAATAGGCTAATACTGATAGCTAAAGGGTAGAGCTAGATATAGATATGGATTTGAGTTAAAATTGTATGGAAGCAGTTGGGGTGTGCTGGGGGATGGTCTCTGTCTTAAACAATGCATGTATCCAATATTCCTTCATTTTTTGGTCCCCCAGAATTCCTCATTCCTGGATAGCCCAGAGGCTGACCTACCACTTTGTTTTGAGCAAACTGTTCTTGTGTGGATTCCCTTGGGCTTCCTTTGGCTCCTGGCTCCTTGGCAGCTTCTCCATGTATATAAATCCAGGACCAACAAATCTTCTGTAACCAAACTCTACCTTGCTAAGCAGGTAAGGTAGCCCTACCATTTCCTAACTCTCATTCTTGGCGCACAATAGGGACATTTTCTTGGTCATTAAAGTGTCCTCTTCCATGTCTTTAACCGTCTTTTCCAGTTGCTGCTGTCTCAGGTAGATTGTAGGTATATTGATACATGTAAGCCGGGTTTATGAAAAATATTTTTGTTACTATAACTAACTAGAGGGATATTTGTATAAAAAATAATAAATTTCTGCTGAAACACTGCACAAAAATTTTATAGACAGTCATTTTGGTGTCACCCCCCTGACAGTGTCAGCTGGTGCAGTCTGAACCCCCCGCACCTCCCTAATGACACCACTGGTTCCTACATAATGCTCTAGGTGTCCCACTCTCTACCTGCCCTCATTGGTCCCTTGTTGTATTTCTTAGTTAAAGTAACTTTTGTTTTTGCATAAGAATGTTGTTGTTAGGTGCCATGGAGTTGGTTCCGACTTACAGCAACCCTGTGTACAATAGAACAAAACAGTGCCTGGTCCTGCGCCATCCTCACAGTCATTGTTATGCTTGAGCCAATTGTTGCAGCCACTGTGCCAGTCTCTCTTGTTGAGGGTCTTCCTCTTTTTGCTGACCCTTTACTTTACCACGCATAATGTCCTTCTCCAGCAACTGGTGCATAAGAGTAGTGAGTCTTAAATTTTATGAATATTGTCCTCCCGAAACACCAATGAGGAGCCCTAGTGGTGCAGTGGTTAAGAGCTCTGGCTGCTAACCAGAAGATTGACAGTTCAAATCCACCAGCTACTCCTTGGAAACCCTGTGGAGTAGTTGTACTCTGTTGGATAGGGTCGCTATGAGTTGGAATCAACTGGACGGCAATGGGTTTTTTGGTTTTGTTTTAGTATTTGAAAAGACAACACTGAATTACCTGCTCTTACACTGTCCTAATTAATCAGGAGTCTGTAATTCAGTTGGCACTAACATGAAATGCAAATGAACCATATAATGTGATCTCTGCACCATTGTGACCTCTGAACCATTTAGTGTTCCAACCATCACTCATTTCCCAAAACTTGGACCTGGTTTGCATTTTCCCCAGAGTCTTTCCTGAGTCTGGAAGATCACTGACAGTGGAGAGGGGAAGGGTAAGTGTGCACATTGACGTGCCTGAGTAGGGAGAAAAATGGAAAGGACAGGAGATGTAGGAGAGTGCCCAGGCGGAATGAGGGGAAGAGCCCCTCTGTCACCTGCACTAATTATCTCGAGGAGGGGTATGGTGTGAATTAAAAGACCCTCAAGGTTGTAAAGCCATCCGGTAAGTCCACTGTGTGCTTCCTTCCACTAGATTTTTTCTACCTGTCCTGAACTTTAGACAGGCAAATTGGATTCCTGTGTTCTATGAACAATAAAACAAATGCGGATGACCTCAAGTTACGTGGAACCTAAAAGGGAAGAAGGGACTTAGCTGAAGGAAGTGGGATTTGTAGGGACACTGTCAGGTGGGGGCTGGTGGTGTTTTTGTTGGACTCGTGGTAGGAAAAGAACAGTCACTGAGAGCCCAGGGGAAGGTCACCGTCTGCATTTTTTACCTGAGTGCCCAGCACAGGGCCTGGCACATATCAGACACTTGTTAAGTATTTGTGAATGTTGGTGCAAAGTGCACCCTAGGAATACAGGTTGTGTTAAAAATGTGCTAGACTCCTTCTGAACATTGGAAAACACGCATCAGTGTCCTTGAGGATGCATCAGAGCTTGAGGTTAGAGCCAGTCAGATTGGTGGCTTTTGACATTTTCTGGAGCTTCGAAGAAGAGTCTAGAGAATGAGCAAACCAGTATCCCACTTAATAAAGCTATTAACAAACCTTTAAAACAGCTTTATCAAGATATAATTCACATACCATACAATTTGCCCTTTAAAACCAAAAGATCAGCAGTTCAAACCACCAGCCACTCCATAGGAGAAAGATGTAGCAGTCGGCTTCCATAAAGATTTACAGCCTTGGAAACCCAGTGGGGCAGTTCTACTCTGTCCTATAGGGTTGCTATGAGTCTGAATGGACTCCACAGCAGTGAGTTTGGTTTTTTGGGTTTTTTAATATGCCATTGAATGGATAATACCACATTTTAATTAACTGTTACAGACACAAATCTCCGTAGAACAAAAGAAATGTATTAGTTTTTTTTGTTTTCCTCCTGTATCTAATAATCCACTCACCCTTACTCACAGCCTCAGGAATTCCATTTATAATTTATATCCTCCACCTTGACTAGTACTGATTTGCTTCTCCTTAAAATTTTCAAGATAATTGGTTTCATTCTCTGAAACAGTCAGAGGTGTTATTCCTCACAAAGCAAAATCTCACTTCTCCTATGAGACTCTTCTCTCTCAGCTCACTCCTCAACTTGGTTTTATTTCTCAGTTTTGTTTTCTACCCACCTTTGGGCTGTTTCAGCTGTTTTTGTCCTCTCTGACTCTCCTGAATTGTTGTTATTGCTGTTATTTGGTTGTTAGCGCAGTGTTTACCTCATCTGGATTTCGTCAAGTTGCTTGAGCAAGCTGGTGAGTGACTCCACAGGTTTGTATGGTTTTTAAAGGGACATCCTTATTTAGGACCCAGTGCACAGTTCACATAATTGAATTTTAAAAATGAAAGAATTGTTGGATGAGCTTAATGAATTTGGTTTGGAGGCTGTGGAAGCGCTGAGGTCAGAGCAAGATGTGCGGCAAAAAATGGACTTGTTAGTAAGCCAATGAGAGGTAGGAATCATCTTTTGAGTTTTTATAGAAGTATAATATGAAGATTGCCTCAACTTGTTCTGAAAAGTTTCAGAAAGCAGGACCAAGATAAGTGGGTGGAGGTTGTTCCAGGGAGGCATATTTTGGCTAAATATACAGAAGAACTTTCTAAAAATAATACTTGTCCAATAATAGAATGGGCTATTGGGGATATAGTCCCTGAAATATTCAAGCTGAAGTTAGACATTCATCTACTAGTGACATGGTAGAAGTAGCTACCCTCTATAATGGTAGAAGATTCAACCAGAGTGCCTTGTCATTTACAAAGCAATGGGAAAAGGGAAATTTGCAAAGATGAGAAGGAATGAAATATGGTCAAACCACTCTCTTTTCCTTTTTAATGCCAATGAAATTGTATTTCCTTACAAAGTTGAGTTAGTTAACCCTTGGTCTGCTTGAAGCTCCCCTAATAAATCAGAGACCAAGGGCAAAGAGTAATAAAGACCTAGTAATTATTAAACAGCCACAATAATTCCCTGTTCTTAATTAATAAAAAGGTGTGTATGTTTCTGATTATAAAACTAACGCATGGTAATTATAGAAAATTTGGAGACTCTAGGAAAGTAAGATAATTAAATCCGTTAATAATTGTATCACCCTGATATTCTCCTGTTAACGTTTTGATACATATTCTTCCACTGTTTCTCCTTAAAAAAAAAAAAACAGTTCAAAAGAGTACGAAATGAAAAGCAAAAGTCTTCTTCATGCCCTACCTCCCAGTCCCGTTCTCCAGAGGGCTCCATTTGAAGTTATTTTGATCACCTCCATAGCTGCAAATAATACATATAAATCTATATCTTTTGATCTGACAACTTCAAAAATGATCTATTTCTGCCTCTATGAAAGACAAGGAATTTAGCTCATCAACCCTTCCCCCTAATTTCCTTTCCCTTCCCTCCCCTTCCTCTCAATCTTTTTATTTTATATGATTATTTTTAGTTCTTCTGTGGTTACCTTTATACCTAAAAATAATCTGTCATCAATTTTAGACTGTATATCTTGATGCCCTATTGTGTAAGATGAGAGAATTAGTGCCCCCAGATTTCTTGGATCCTTTCTGCAGGAGAATATCCTCAAATAAAATTTCAGAAAGAGTGACAGTAGGTAAAGTCTCTAAGTTCTTGCTTTCTAAAGATGTTCATTTGGATATGGAATGTTAGTTTCAAAATATTTTTCCTTTGAAAACTCTGAAGATGTTGGTACATTGTTCCTCAGCATCCTGTGCTACTATTTAGAATTCTTCCCATTCCTGCCTATCCTCTAGAAGCTTTTATCCTCTTTACTCTTTATTTTTTAATAGTATTTTATTTATTTATTTATTGTTATCCTCTTTATTCTTAATGTTCTGGACTTCCACGATAGTCTATCTACATGAGTATTTTTTCATTCAATTGACTCTGCACTTTCAACCTAAAGACTCATGTCTTTCTTATCTCTGAGAACTTTTCATAAATTACTCCTTTCATTTCCTTTCCTCTGTCTTTGAAATTCTCTCTCTCCAGAACTTCTTTTAAATGGATTGAACTCTCTGAATTGATCTTCCTTCTCAACTTCTCTCTTTTTTCAAATTTCTTTTTCTGGACGTTTTCCCAAATTTTTTTTCCAGTTGTCCTAAAGGACTCTTCTTAATTTCTGAATGTACCTTTTTATTAATAGCAACCTGTTAATGGATGCAATATCTTCACAAATCTCTCTTGGGACATTGTTTTGAAAGTAATTTTAAAAAGAAGATTTTTTTTTTCTGTTCATTTAATACTTTCTATTTCTTTCAGCCCAGGATTTGTCTTCCTGGTCATTATCTCGGTTGTCTTCTTTGCTAATACAGTGAAACCTATGAGAGCTGGAACTCTCCAGGACTGCCTTGTTTTTTTGGGTCTCACAAGTTCTCTGCCTTTGACAGGATGCAGTCTTACCACTTTTCTATCGCTCGTTTTAGTGGAAAACATGTAAGTTTTCCTTCTCTGACAGGTTTCCACCTTACACAGGTTCCAGCTTTCGCAGGTGTTACTGTATTGTTTTTTCTCAAGTTTCTGATAATTATTAGTGCTCTGTTTGCATTTATGAATAAGGAGTTAAGTTAATTAACATAGTTGGCTAGAGTAGGTCCCTCTGCCATGATATAAGTCCTGATTTCTATTCTTTTACATTTGTTAGATGTGTTTTATGGCCCAGAATGTGGCCTATCTTGGTAAATGTTCCACATGAGCTTGAGAAGAATGTGTATCCTGTTGCTGGATGAAGTATTCTATAAATGTCAATTAGACTTAGTTGATTGATGGTGCTGTTCAGTTCAACTATATCCTTACTGATTTCCTGCTTGCTAGATATGGCAATTACTGATAGAGCGGTGTTGAAATCTCCAACTATAATAGTGGATTTGCCTATTTCTCCTTGCAGTTCCATCAGTTTTTGCATCATATATTTTGATACTCTATTATTAGATGCATACACAGTAAGGATTGCTATATCTTCTTTGAAAAGACCTGACAGCTAAGTAAAAAATGGCATGTTGTTATACTTTTAAATTACACTACTGATTCATTGGACATCCCATTGATATCTTATTATTAATGAGTTTAAACATTTTTTCATATATTTAAGAGCCATGTGTATTTCTTTAAATTATCTATTTGTAGTCTATGCCCATTTTTTCCATTGAGTTATTAGTTTTGTGAGTTTTTTTAATTACTTTGTAGGAGTTATTTTTTAAGGAAGTTAGTCTCTTTGATATGAATTTCTTGGTGCATCTCTAACCAGTTTGTCTAAGTTCAACATATGTAAGCCTGTGGCAGATCTCCTCCTTTTCTTCAGCCTTGGGAATGGTCTCCTGGTTAGTATTCTCTCTAGCTAGTCATCTTCAAGGAAGAGTGCTTTAGCTCCAACTGGGTTTATTTTGTCTCAATTTACCTAAATGCAAGTATTCCTTCCCACCTCAAAAGCTATTATTTTTTCCAAAGACCTCATAGTCTAGTGTGAAGAAAGCACAATATAATATATTATATACTTGAGAAAATGCATTGCATTTGCTAGTATGTCTTTGACTCTACTCCTTGCTAAATAATAGCCCTGGTCATATTTGTTAAAGGTGCATTCGTTTCCCTCCTTGGCTGGTTTTCTTTACAAAGACCCCCAATATCTTTCTGCTTGAGTCATTCTGGATGAATGAGGCTTCTGGGAACGAGTATGGGCAAATGGATGGGAATAAGAAGGGATGAGGGTAGGGGAGATAGTATAGATCTTAATCTTGGGGGCCAAGATGCTGTGGATCTCCTCAGTGGAGATAGTTATTTTCCCTCCTGATAGGAGGGGTTTGGTCCTTTAGAACAGTACAGTGTGTATTATGTCTCATGAGCTCATAGAACAAATATATTGATTGGCTTGGAATTACCATGGATGCCTTGCAATTAATGTTGCAAATGTAATATGAGGCAAAGGCTGGGACCGATGACTGAGGAAAGAGAATAGTGCCACCCTAGGCATAGTGGTTAAGAGCTGCGGCTGCTAACCAAAAAGTCGGCAGTTGGAATCCACCAGCCACTCTTTGGAAACTCTATGGGGCAGTTCTACTCTGTCCTATAGGGTCACTATGAGTCGGAATCAACTCATTGGCAACAAGTTTGGTTTTTGGTAGTTGAGGGGAAGGAGCCCTGTTGGCGAAGCGGTTAAGCACTTGGCTGCTGAGCGAAATGTCAGCAGTTTGAACCCACTAGCTGCTCTGTGGGAGGAAGATATGGCAGTCTGCTTCCATAAAGATTATAGCCTTGGAAACCTATGGGGCAGTTCTACTCTGTGCTATAGGGTCACTGTGAGTTGCAATCGACTCAATGGCACACATTGACAACAGTTGGGGGGCGGGATTCTCCTTTTAACCCTAGTGTATTAGTTTTCTATTGCTGTGTAACAAATTACCCCAAAACTTAGCAACTTAAAAAAAATAAGCTTTTTTTTTTTTTAATCTCCTCACAGTTTCTGTGGTCCAGGAATTTGGGACCAGCTTATCTGGGTTCTGCCTCATGGTGTCTCATGGGGTTACAGTTAATATGCTAGCTGGGGCTACATCATCGGAAGGCTTGATTTCGGGTCTAGTAGTCCACTCCTAAGATGGTGCACTTGCATGGCTCTTGGCAAGCGGCCAGCTGAATCTCTCCATAGGCTACTTTAGTATCATCAGAACAGGGCTTCTAGCTTTCCCCAGCATATGTAACCCAAGAGAGAGAGAACAAGGCTTCGAAGTCACATACTATCACTTCTGCCATATTCTGCTCATTAGAAGTGAGTCACTAAAGTCCAGTCCACACTCAAAGGGAGGGGAACTAAGTTCTACTTTTTGAAGGGAGTAGTATCAAAGAGTTTGTGGACGTATTTTAAAATGATCATACTCAGCATTCCTCAAAAATACTTTTCAGGGCACGCTTTGAATTTTATTCCATTATTGGATGAACTATATGCATCAATTCATTCCACAAATATCTATTGAATATGTTATCTGAAGCACTGTATACCATTTTTACCATCCATGATTGGGGACCATTCTATTCTAAGAGACTTGCAGAAAATGATATCCTCCTAACAGTGGTTTTTTCCCCCCTTCTCAGGTGTTTGTTGGGTTTCTTCTTATTCTAGCAGCCATAGAGCTGGCCTTTGTACTCACAGAAGATTCTGGACAAGCCACAGTCCCTGCCATTAGATACACCAATCCAAGCCTCTACCTGGGCACATGGGTAAGGCCCATCACCACTTTCACCTTGTTTATCTTCTCTCTACCTACAGTCCTCTAGCTGAAATTTACTCTTTTGGGATGAAATTAAGTCCAATTTCATCTAAAGAATTTGAGAAGTAGAAAGGGCCATCTAGTACAGCCTTCTGACATCATAGATTAAGAATCTGAAGCACAGAAAAGGTTAAGTGACTTGCCTAAGGTATATAATTAGTGGGTGACAGAGCTAGGACTAAAGCGCAGTCTTCCAATTTTTGACCTGTTGTTCATTCTATCATACTCTTATGTCTCTCATCCCTTTCAAGAGTGTTATAAAGGCAAAGCTTGGTTATTGTGGGGTGAAACTAAAGATTACAAATTTTAGCTCTTCATCTTCTTTTTGTACACTGATTTATAGAAACTTCTCCCTAGGATAAGTACCAGATTTAAAGATGTATATCTTATGTCCTTGTATCTTGCCGTATAAAGATCATAGATGAGATATTAGTTTCTTGATATAAAATCATTTTTAAATGCTGTAAATATTATTTTTAAATTGATTGGTGACTCTAATCAGTGGATCACTGAGTCTAGAATCATTGCTTTAAACCTATTGTCAGAAACTAGTATCTCTCCTGTAGGCATGTTTTTTTGAAGGGGAGGGGTGCGGGCTGCACAGTGTATGTGGAGCTCTGGTGGCATAGTAGTTAAATCACATGGCTGTTAACTGAAAGATGGGCAGTTCAAACCCACCAGCTGCTCCGCAGAAGAAAGATGTGGCCATCTGTTTCTGTAACAACTTACAGCCTTGGAAACCCTTTGGGGCAGTTCTACTCTGTCCTACAGGGCCACTATGAGTCAGAATTGACTCAGTGGCAATGGGTTTTGGTTTGGTTTGCACAGTATTTAAACAAAAATTGAATTAGTTGCCATTATTTTAAAAGAGGAAGATGACAAACAAAAATCTCAATTTCCAACCGTTCTTGAAAAATCAGAATGACAACCATGAGTCTACATTCTCACAGGACCATAGTCAGCTGGGACGGAGTAGCTGTGGCCCCTTTAGACCAGGCATGTGCTCAACCCAGACCCTACCTAGTGCCCCTTCACTGAGTAGCATTACCTGCCTGGCCCCATAAGCATTTTTGGTTGCTATTATTCCTACAGAACAAACAAACAAGGGTCCAGGCATTGGTGTCCTGGAGCTGGCTCATACATCTCTTCCCAACCCTGTGTTCAGTGACAACACTTGGAGCTTGAAATCTGCCATGGCGGGAGTATTTATGCCATGGAAATAGGCAAATGCTACAAATCACAGCATTTTTCAGAGAGCTGGTTTACCAGGAAAGGTAAGGAGGCTAGGAAAACAACCAGCATTTAATTAATTATATCTAATAGTGATGATCCAAAACAGAGTTTTTATTTTTAATCGCTAAGCCTGAAGTGCTAGACTACTAGCTGAAAGGTTGGCGGTTCAAACCCAGAGGTTCCTCGGAAGACAGGCATGGAGATCTGCTTCCAGAAGATCACAGCTTTGAAAACTATAGAACAGTTCTACTCTGCACACATGGGGTTACTTGAGTCAGAATTGACTTGATGGCAACTAACAACAATAACAAGTCTGATATTATTTAAAAAACAAGGTACAGAGACCTTGTACCTATCCATCAGAATCTGCCTCCCACACCTGACTGTAGTGCCTGAAATTCATTTCCTTGGGTCTTGAAAAGGCTTTTCTGGCTCACAAAGTAACTCCATTAAAATGCAGATAGTGATCCTCACCTTTCTGAAATAACTTCCAACTCAAGTGTGTGAATAGAGATGGGATAGGGAAAGAGGTCCCAGAGAGAGCATGGAGGCACTGAAAGAGGAAGTTGGATGGTATCAGGGAGGAAACCTACAATTTGGCATTTGTGTGCTTTCTGCCTGGCCAGGTTAGTTACAACAATCTCTCCCGTCAGCCCCCCACCTCTCTTTTCTTCCCCTGTTCTCCGACAACCTTCTTACCTCCTGTACTTGGTTAGTGACAATAGTCTTCAGAACTTGGTGTGAATTTCTCTCTAGCTCCTGGTTTTGCTGATCCAACACAGCAGGCAATGGTGTGTGCAAAAGAATTCTTGGTTCCTGTCCCTATTCTGGATTCTCTCAATACTCTGTGGCACTTTCCAACTTCAAACTCTCATCCGGATGCTCTTACAGGTAAGGAGCAAAGAGAGAGTGACATAAAGAGACACTGCTGGGCATCTGCTGGATTGGAGGAAACAGAATGAAGTAGATTGGGCTTCAGGATGGACTTGTATTTAGGGGATCTGATGATGGGCTTTAATCACAAGAATTGATATATATATATAGACCATTTATATTTAATTTGAATAAAAGGTTCATTTTCTCTATTTTTTTTTTCTTCCATAGGACAACAATTCTAACCTGATCTACTCCTGCCTGTTCTTCATCTCCTATGCATTCCAGATCCTGATCCTGGTCCTTTCAGCATTTTCAGAAAAAAATGCCTCACCAAATGTGAGACTCTAAATATGCTTGCCTAATATATTACTTAATTCGATGGTGTCTTGACAAATATAACTTTGAGATGTCTAGGTCTCATAGAGACTGGAATAAGGTAGTACAGATTATTTTATGGCATAGGAAACAGGAGGTAAGTAGAATATAGAAATACTGACTTTTCCATTGACCCACCAATCTTCAGCATAGGCAGTTAATTCATACATCTATGCCAGCAAATCTGATTATCATTCTACTAGTGACCTTACCAACACATGGGGTCACCATGAGTTGGAACTGACTTGACAGCAGATGGGTTTTTTTTTTTTTTTTGGTGTAGCGAACTTAGGGCTCCCAAATAAATATATGTTGACCAACTGACTTCAACATCATATCTAGTTTCTATCACATCATACCTAGCAAAATCAGTTTCTGATTTTAGAGTCCCATGGCATTTCCATTTCCAATTGATTTACTTTCTAATTTTTGTGTGTCTTGCAGAATCCATCAACTACGGCTTCATTTCTGAGTAGTATTACCTTTAGTTGGTATGACAGGTAGGAAATGCCTGCAGTATGGTTATCTATATCCCTCCCCCCTCACTCTTCTGAAAGAGACGTAAAGCATAATTACAAAAAAAAAAAAAAAATTCCCGCTGTGGCCTCAATTTCTCCTCTATTTAGTCAGAGTCAGAGAATGTTAGAACTTAGAGGTCAGTTTAGTTCCGTCCCTTCATTGGGCAGATCAAGATGCTGAGGAGGGGGTAGAGGGAGATTTGCTCTTGGTAGTCTGTGGGGTTCACAGGAAAAAACAAAAGAGGTAGTAGGATGGGAAAGGGGAAGGTTGGAGGCAGGCAGTGTGGCACAGATTTGGAAGATAAGGGATGAATGAGCTGTTCTGGGCTCCAGAGGACCAGGGAGGAGGTATCTTGACCCCTGTAGTTCCATGGACTCCTTTGATAGGCTGGTGAAGCCTATGAATCTCTTCTCAGAAAAATGTTTTAAATGCATAAAAAAAAGATACAGGAGTATAAAGGAAAACAAATATATTAAAATAGTGTTATCAAAATATTTTAAACAAAAAAGTACTTGTGATACAGTAATACATGTGTTCTTTGTTAATGCATTAAATAACAACATGCAGTGGTGGGTCCAGTATCAACCATTATTTCAAAGTTGTGATGAGAGTAAGTGAATCATGAAAACATCTGTGATTTCTCCTCATGACAAAGGCACAGACTCCTTTTATAACTGTGGTTGGTTGCTTACACTCACAAGAAAGAAAGGCTAAATTTCAATTAGAAGTTAGTAAAAATAATAATGTAATTCATGTTCCATCTGCGTTCTCAAACCTCAGGTTAAGAATTCTTGATCTAGAGAGACAGTATAGAGGCAGCCACTAGGTCAGCTCCATTTCTTAAGGCCATCATGGAGTCACTTCCAGGAGATGCCAGAGTGACAGACAGCCAGTATTTGAGGAGGAAGGAGCAGGAGGTGATGATCTTTTGGCCCTTAATTCAGTAATGCCCCTCCTCTTCCCCTTCTCTTCTTGACTTTCCCATCTCTGTCACCCCTCCTTGCTTCCTTTTCTCCTCTCCCCACTCCTTTCTCAAATTCAAAGGGGCAGGAGGTGAGGGTAGTGGAGCAAAAGAGAAGTCCCATTCTCTCGTTCCTCTGTCCCAGATAAGGACCCAGGCAGGTTTGGATAGAGGGGCAAAGAGACAGCTCTCTGACCCAGCCTGTAGGGTCCCAGCCTGTGGGTCACTCTTGTTCCAGCGTTGTTCTGAAAGGCTACAAGAAACCTCTGACACTTGAAGATGTCTGGGACGTCGATGATAGGATTAAAGCCAAGAACCTAGTCAGCAAGTTTGAAGCATGCGCGGCAGGAACGCTGCAGAAGGCCAGGCAGGCACTCCAGAGACGGAGGCAGAAGAATTCCCAGAGGAAATTGGAAGCCAAGCTGCATGGCTTGAACAAGAACCAGAGTCAAAGCCAAGATGTCCTTGTCCTGGTAACTGTCACACGAGTTTCTGTGCAAATGTGCTTGTATGGCTCAGACAAGAGGGCAACAGTATCATAATGATTATGTCCTTACATTTTTATAGCACTTTATACTTTTCAGAACATTTTATATTATTAGTATATTTGCAATATTAATATTACCTTAGTGATGGATACATGGGAGTACATTGTGCTATTCTTTCTCCTTTTGGGTATATTTGAAAATTTCCATAATAATTTTTTTTTTTAAATCAGAAGATAAATAATACCTTAGTATGACTAGAATCTGCACCTTGGTGGGATTTAGCATTAGCAGCTAATTCATTTGTTTACTCAAAAAATATTTAATGAGCACAACTTTGTGTCAGAGACCATTCTGGGCACTGGGCATAAAGAACAAGCCTGAAAGAGTCTCCATCCTTGTGTGAGAGCTAGAAAATAAACAATAAACCAATACATGTATTACTCTTGTAACATACTAATTGTAACTCTAGTTGTAAGTGCCATTAAGAAAATAAACGTGCTAATGTGTTGGGAGTGAAATGCAACTTCTGGTAAGGTAATCAGGGGAAACTTCTCAGAGGAGGTGGCATTTAAGCAGAGACCCAAATGTGAGAACAGTCCATCTGCAGGATGATCAGAGGAAAATGTGTTCTAGTCAGAGGGAGCAGAAGTGCAGGGCTGAGAGGGGAACAAGTTTGACTCATTCAGGGAACTGGAATGAGACACAGGAGTTTCATGAGAAAGGCTGAGCGTGGCTGAGATGAGCTCAGGGAGGTAGACAGGGGCTGAGCTGTGTAGACCCTTGTGGGCCATGGTGAGGAGTCTGGATTTTAAGTCTGATGGAAAGCCAGTGAAAGGTTTTGGGCAGAGACGTAGTGCCATCTGATTTATATTTTTAAAACTCTCTTTGGCTTTAAAAAGAAAACAAAAACAAAAAAAAACAGACAAATAGTTCATTCAGGAAAAAAAAAATTCTCTTGGGCTGCTGCCTAGAGAATGGACCGTTGTGAGGCAAGAGTGGAAGCTGGGAGGCAGTTGGGCTGGGGCAGTCATCCAGGCAAGAGAGACTGATTGGATGGGACCTCAGTGAGCGAAATTATGAAAAATATTTGGTAGAAAAACCTGGAAACTGAGGCTTGAGAAGCTAGAATTGGAGATGTGCTGGGATTCTGGAGAATGCAATGAGGAGGCCAAAACATAGGAAAAACAAGAGGCTGGTGAGTGAGTGGTAAAGCTCCCAAAACAACCACAAGCAGGAAAAGAACAAAAAAAGGCTTCTAAGCATCCAAGCCCTGGTGGTGCAGTGGTTAAGTGCCTGACTGCTAACCAAAGTTTGGTGGTTCAAACCCACCAACTGCTCCATGGGAGAAAGATGTGGCAGTCTGATTCCATAAAGATTACAGACATGGAGACCCTATAGGTCAGTTCTACTCTGTCCTATAGGGTCACTTTGAGTCTGAATTGATGGCATCCAAAATATATATTATCATGTCCATGCCCTTCATTCTCAAGACTGCCCCTCAGGTCCCCCCTCAGAGTCTGTTCTTTTATTCAATATTCTCACCAGTTTAGTTGCCTGGTTTTCTAATCCAAAGTAGATGACAAGGATCAGTTAGGAAGGACAGAGAAGATTAGCGGTGGCAGCTAGAAGAGTGGGCTGGCAACCAGGCAGTGAACAGAAGACCAAAAGCTGTACAAAGATGGCAAAAGGGCTCAGAGGTTTAACACTCTGGAGTTATTTAGTGCAGGATTCCTACACTACATAATTCTGTGTGTGTTGTTGTTTGGTTTTGTATCTAGGAAGAAGGCAAAAAGAAAAAAGAGAAGTCTGGGATCAAAAAAGACTTTCCCAAGTCCTGGTTGATCAAGACCCTCTTCAAAACTCTCTACCCTGAACTCCTAAAATCATCCATATTGAAGCTAGTGTATGACATCCTCGTATTTCTGAATCCTCAGCTGCTGAAGTGAGTCCTGAGGGCTTGAATTGTCCTCTCAGGGCCTCCTCTGCCACCCTCCTCTTTGACCCTGCTGTATGCAGACAGGAGCTCATTAGTAAATTCCCATTTTAAAATACTCATGATTTTCCTCCACCTTACAGTGTTGTATTTGTGAAAAGTGCAAGGCTGTTTTTAAGATCTAAGATGATGTATACTTTAGCCTCATTTCTACTTCCCTCCCCTCATAGAAAGCCAAGTATTTGTTAGGAGCTCTTTACTGTTAACTGAAACTTCTATGGGCTGAGCCACATCCAAGAGGTGGGCAACATATACCCCAGTAGAGCCTTGTACCTAGTGTCTGTAACCTCATTTCCCCACAGTCACAGCCTTCAGTGGGAGGTTCAGGCTAATCCTGACAAGACTTTGCAATCAGCTGGGATCTATGGAATGAACCGTCCTTTAGGAGGAAGCCCTTCAAACTCATGATGGATACCCATCTTAATTCAGGCTTTTGTTGACCAGGAACCAATCAACTTGTCCCCTATATCCACATAGTCTCTTTTACCAGGGTGGGGGCGCCAAAATATTGTAGTGGAAGTTATGTGGAGCATCTCCTTCTCTATCCATTCTTACAGCCATGGGCCATCACCCTCAGCTCTTGCCACTCAACTCCAAGCAAAAGCAAGAGTACCGGCAAGACTGTGGAGCTTAGATTTTCCAAAGGTGTTTGGCCATTTTGGTTACTTTTGTTACCTGCAGGGTAAAGGCAGGGTAGCTAGCTACACACAAGGAAGGTAAGGAGGCCTGATGAGCATCATTTACTTGATTTTGTTCTGGCAGATTACTGATCTCCTTTGCAAATGATCGTGACACCTATGTATGGACTGGATATCTCTATTCGATCCTCTTCTTTGCTGTGGCTCTCATCCAGTGTGTTTGCCTTCAGTTGTATTTTCAACTCTGCTTCATGATAGGCATGACTGTACGGACAACCATCATAGCTTCTGTATATAAGAAGGTAAGGAAAATACATCAGTTATCACCAGAGAAAATCTCCTTATTAAGCATGAGGAAATTATTCCAAGATTGAGGAAAAATGATGCAATGATAACTGACCATGGCATTTAATTTTGATTAACCATGCACCTTCCTTTAGATGTTTCTTTGGAAATTAAAATGTAAAAATTGTGTTCACAGACATAGAGTGTGTATTGGGGACAGGGTGTGGTGCACTCCAGGAAAAAGCCGGCAAGCTATCCTGCTCAGGATCTGCCTTTCAGCCTTGAAGGGTCAGATACCTGTTCCTCCATTCCCATCTCTATCAACAAGATGAGAATGCCTTGGGAAAGAGTATAAAGTCAGTAACAAAGCTGGCCACCAACATTTAAACCAAATACTTAATGGAACTGGGCTAAGAAGGCCTGGTACATCCATCTCAAAATGAAAACAATCTTGCCAGTGAATCTAGAATGCTCTATGGGTCAGGGTTTCATCTCCCCAGAACAGCTTTTGCCTAGCAACTTTAGTAGTTTACCAAACCCTTCTCTGCCTGCCTTCTTTTTTAGATTTGTAAATACATTCACTCTGGTTAGTGAGTTCTGCAGACCTGGGTGTTTTCCATTACTTTAAGATAATTTTACACATCTTCACTCTAGTATGTTGTCTTTGAAGTTTAACTTTCTCAGAACAAGTTTATTTTCCTTATTTACCAGGTTAATATCTAATTTTGTCCCCTAAGAAATGAAAATACAGTAGTTACAATCAGTAACTACAAGCTTGAGGGGAAAACTCATCCATGAGGAGACAAGACTTTTTATAGGATCAGAGCATCAAACAGTTGCCTTTCTTCTTTTTCTTCCCACTACTGGAAAATTTCGTCATAGTGACTTTGCTGTTACAATTCATGGTTTTCTCCTTTGCTGTCTTCTCATGAAAATACCAAACCAAAAAAAAAACACAAAAAACCAAACCCATTGCCATCGAGTCGATTCTGACTTATAGCAACCCTATAGGACAGAGTAGAACTGCCCCATAAGGTTTCCGAGGAGTGCCTGGTGGATTTGAACTGCCGACCTTTCGGTTAGCAGCTGTAGCTCTTAACCACTATGCCACCAGGGTTTCCAATAGGTCATTTTTGTCTTCTCTCAGTAGGTGTTGACCCATCAAGAGACTCAGGTAGGTAATGCAAGTGTCTTTAGATTAGAAGTCTGGTCAAGTCCTTTGAACTCCCACACTAGAATTAGTCTTCCCAAAAATTGAGTTTTAATCTCCTTATTCCTTCTAGAGATACTGGATTTCTGCTGGTTTGTGGGTTATGAGGTCACTGACCAGGCTATCTCAGTCATTTCTGTTAGTGTACACTTTTACAGTTGTGGTTATTCATCCTCCCATTTATTTTTATTTTTAAAATCTTATTGTGGTAAAATATATATAACAAAATATTTGTCATTTTAACCACTTTTAAGTGTATGATCCAGTAACATTAATTACATTCACCATGTTGTGCAACCATCACCACTATGCATTTCCAAGTTTTTCATTACCCTAAAGAGAAACTCAGTACCTCTCAAGCAATAACTCCTGTTTTCTTCCTGCCCTCTAGATATTTCATGTAAGTGAGATCAAGCACTATTTGTCCTTTAAGGTCTGACTTATTTCACTCAGTATGTCTTCAAGGTTCATCCATGTCGTAGCATGTATCAGAACTTCATTTCTCATTATGGCTGAATAATATTCAATTGTATGAATGTACCACATTTTATTTATTTATTTCTATTGATGGTTGCTTCCACCTTTGGGCTATTGCAAATAATGTGGCAATGAACATTGGTGTACAAGTATCTGTTTGAGTTTATACTTTCAACTCTTGATTATTACTATATTCCAGATTTTACAACTGTTATAGTCAATACAGAGATTTATAAAATAGAGCCGTTAATGAGACCTTCCTTCAAATAAATATTGGTATTTAAATAGAGTGAAGGAAAATTACTAATTCCATATGTTTAGATAATATTTTACTCTTTATGAAACATTTTCATATCCATTATCAATTCATAGCCCTGTGAAGTAAGTACATTATCCCTATTTTACAGAGAAGTAAAGCTTAGATAATTTCAGTGCCTGCACTCACATAGCCAGGACTTACCCCTATACCAGGGCTACTTAGGACTAAATCAGTGATCTTTTTACTTCATTGAGATTTATTGAGGAAAGAAAAGCATAATGATTGTCCTGAAGAGTAGTTAGATGTTGTATACTTTGTTTTGCTTTTCCATACACAGCAGCGGGCTGATTCTTTTAGAACCTTGGTGGCCCAATGTTTTAGGAAATTTCCCTCTTTTTACTGTATACTCAAGAATCCTGGTATGTTCCAAAGAGTGCATTGGTAGGTTAAGATGACAGGAGAGCTTCTAAGAAAGGAGAGGTAATGAAGTTGGGTATCGGGGGCCACTCCTGGCCTATGTACTGTCTTTGTGGGAATTAGACGAAGGCACCTCTTTCTCTGGGAAGATGCAGCTCACACCAGGTGGTAGCTTGGTGAGCGTAGTGCAAACTGGTTTCAGTGCCCCCCAAGCCCCCTGGCTGAGTGCACTTGTGCAAGATGTTGTAAGTGACAGATTTGTGGGTATCAGACTCTGATCTCACTTATGTGAAAACAAGAGATCCATACCACAAGATTCAGGCATCTAGATAGATATTGTCCCCAAATTCCCAACAATGGACAAGTCAAATGAGTGAGCCCTGCAGCTTTCCTCTGCATTCCAAGATCTCTGTCCTTATTGGGAATGTCTGTGACCTTTCCACAAAAATATGGCCCTGAATAACATTGCCCTGTCAGAAGCATCCAAGACCAGAATCAAAACATGCTGGTTTTCCTCCTTCCTTTCTTCCTTGTTTCCTTCCTTTCTTCCTTTTCTCCTTCCTCTCCCATCCTCCTTCCTTCCCTCCTTCCTTCTCTGCTTCTGTTCCTTCCTTACCACCTTCTTTCCATAAATATTTGATTCCCTACTATGTGCCACATGATACAATAATAAAATGAAGAGATGTAGTCCTTGTCCTCATAGAGTTTACATCTGGTAGAGAAATAGGAAAACAAACAATTATAACTCAGTACAATAAATGTAATAACAAAGGTAAGCACAGGATGTTATGGGTTATCTAACACAAATATTTGAGTCGGGAGGCTTCTCAGAAGTACCGTCTAAACTGACACCTACAAGATAAATAGGAGTTTTACGGGCAGAAAAAAAAAGTGTGTGTTAAAAGTTGGGGGAAGGTGGGAATAGCAAGAAAGAATGGTCAAGAATGAGAGAACACTGTGAAAGATTTGGAAGGAAGAAGGCAGAGTACCTTGGAGAAGTTGTGTCCATCTGGAGCCCATCCTTCCATTACACTGTCACTTCCTGAGCACCCCCTCACCCTATAGTGTCCTTGGCCTTATAGATGGGGCCCAATTCAATCTTTATCTTTAGGCGCTGACCCTATCCAACTCGGCCAGGAGGGAGTACACCGTAGGAGAAACAGTAAACTTGATGTCTGTGGATGCCCAGAAGCTCATGGATGTGACCAGCTTCATCCACTTGCTGTGGTCAACCTTTGTACAGATTATTTTATCTATCTTCTTCCTATGGGAAGAGTTGGGACCCTCAATCCTTGCAGGTGTTGGAGTGATGGTGATCCTAATCCCAATTAACGGGATACTGGCCACCAAGAATAGGACTCTTCAGGTAAGGAAACAGAGTTATCCTGGGGATATATATACCTTCTTCAAAGTCTTTGCTTACTCTGCTCTAACTCTGGATAGGTGTTTGGGCAAGGCAAAGTGGGTTAAAGACTTTCTACTATCCCAAATGAACTTGGCTTTTTCTATCTTCCCTTTTCATCTTCCAACCACTCTTAGGGTTTATATACTCTATCCTTATTCATATTAGAGGGAAGAACCCAATTGGAGAGGGAAGGACTGTCCCAGAGACCTTGAACATAACTCTTCAACTCTGCTCTGCTGGACTGTCCTCAGAACAATGATTTGTGCCCCTGCCTGCCCATCATAACAATGCACACCAACCATACAGAGCAGTCACATGAGTGATCCAAACTTTAAGCATAAGTCCTGGCAATCATTCCTGCTACCATCAGCTAGGAGGGCTCCATGCAAATGTTCCTTAGCTCTGCCAGAAATCAGAGGTTGGGTGGGTAGACTTGGTGGTGTGAGTATATGATTTATTCATTCATTCATTTTATATTTATTTAAATACAACTATTTATTTAAATACAACTATTTATTTTAAAAATATTTAGTGTATGTCTTACTGTTCTGGGAATACAACAGCAAATTAGACAAGTTTTCTGCTCTCATGGAGCTTACGTTCCACTTGGGGGATGGAGAGACAGGCAATAAACAAAGACAATTAAATAAGAAAAATATCAGATCTTGGTAAGTACTACACAGAGAATTAAATAGTGTGATGTGATGGTGAGTGAGTAGGTGGTTATTCCTCAGTGAGGAGGGAGTATTTAAGTGGAGATCTCAATGACACTGGCCTGACTGTGAAGGAGCAAGATTTGGGAAGTGAAAGGGAAGAACAACTCGGGTAGTGGGGACAGTCAGGCAAAGGCTGTGGCGTGGAAATGAGCTTGGCATGCTCAAGGGTCAGAAAGAAGACCAAGGTGGCAGGAGTGGAGTGGGCAAAGAAGAGCATAGGGAGAGATGAACATCCCATCACCGGGCACCTCAAGTTCTTACTAAGTGACAGCCACAACTGTCCCTTGAGACCTGTCATCTGCAGCCAACCTGGACTCTCTCTCATGAAAGTGTGCTGTGTTATTGTTTTTGCTTTTTCTTGGCAGGTAAAAAATATGAAGAATAAAGACAAACGTTTAAAGATTATGAGTGAGATTCTCAGTGGAATCAAGGTAAGAAGCCGAGTGTAGGCTACCCTCTGCGTGCAGTGACAGAAGCAATGAATTTCGTGTCCTTAACACATTCTAATAAGAGGCCGTGGCTTCCTGTTTCTGGTCCTGTTGAGTGTCAGATGACTCCTGATTCCTCCACCCACTTGTCTCCTCCTGTTTCATATTCTGCTACTCCTTTCATGTCCTATTTTTAACTTTAGTATCTATTTATCCTAAATGGTTCTTGTTTTGTTTTTACATCTTATTGTAGAACTTTTCAAACATACACAAAAGTAGAGGGAATAATATAATGAACCCCATGGACTTATCACCCAGCTTTAGCAATTATCAACATGACCTATCTAGTTTCAGCTATGCTCACTCCCTACCTCATGACACATTAGATTATTTTAAAGCAAATCTCAGATATTCTGTCATTTCATTTCTAAATACTTTGCATCTTTAGAAGAAGGATTTCCTTTTTTAGCATAACCATTATGCTAGTATCACACCTAAAAAAATAAACAATCATTCTTTGATACCATCAAATTTCCCCAATTGTTTCATAATTTTTTTAACTGTTGGTTTGTTTGAATAAGGATTCAAAAAATGTCCACACATGGCATTTAATTGATAATGCCTTTAACTTACAACAGTCCCTCCTTCCCTTTCTTTTCTTTCTTTTTTGTCATTTATTGGCAAAGCCAAGTTATTTGTCTTGTTTTCTGTATTTCCTATAAATTAATAGTTAGATCTAGGGACTTGATTAGATGATTTAGGTTTAATTTTTTCAGGGGGGGCAGGCAGGGATACTTTCAGATGGTGTTATGTACTTCCAAATATCAATGATGACGGTTGATCAGTGGGTCCAGGCATTGTTAGCCTGAGTGATCTATTATAAACGTTCCTGCCATTCTTTTGTAGTTATTTGTAACCTTGGCAGCATGTTAGAATCACCTGGGAAGCTTGGACCCTACCTCAAACCAATTAAATTAGACTCTCTGGGGGTAGGCCCAGGTATCTGTATTTTTTAAACAGTTCCCTAGGTGATTCTAATATGCAACCAGGTTTAAAAACCACTGTTATAAAAGTCTTAGCAGCCACTGATGATTAACCCATTTATTTCATCAGGGGTTGCAAAATAATTATATTCTAATTCTGTTATTCCTTTGGCCTTTATTAGTTGGAATTCTATAAAGAAGATTACAGGATAGGCAGGGTAAATGTTTGCTTCTTTCCCTCTTCTTAGCTTTCAAAATAATGTATTTCATTTTCCACAGGTGATGAATACATTCTGGGTTTTTTTTTTTAAATGTGTTTTTTAATTCACAGATTCTAACATTACCCTAAACTTCTTGCAAATGAAACAGATGTCTCTTTAGTTCCCTGACATTTCCCCACACAGAGCTCTGATAGGACTTTCTGCTAATACGGCAAAATTTAAAAAAAAAAAAAAAAAAAAGATAGGCCTGGTTTTGAGCCTCAGCTCTATCACTTGCCAGCTCAGTGGACTTTGGGCAGGTTACTTCCTTTCTCAGCCTGTTTCTTTATTGGAAAAAAAGGAGACAATAATTCTACATACATAGGGTGACCATCTTGCCCTGGTTTGCCTAGAACTTTACAAGTTTCAGCACTGAAAGCCAGGCATCCAGGGAACCCTCTTAGTCCTGGGCAAACTGGGACACTTGATCACACCAAAGTTGTTGTAAGAATTAAGTGAGATAATGTATATAAAAGGCTTGGGACATAGTAGGCTATCAATAAATACAAGCTACCTTTCTGCAATCACACTTCATAGTCTGAATTTCCACCTGCCCAAATTTTGGGGAGTGTATTCTAAAACATGGGTGGGTAAGATGTACCTGGTGGCCTTTCAGGGCAACAGTGTGACCAGTGCTCTTTTCTAACCTCTTAGATCCTAAAATATTTTGCCTGGGAACCTTCATTCAAAAGCCAAGTCCACAACCTTCGGAAGAAAGAGCTCAAGAACCTGCTGACGTATGCTAAGATACAGTCTGTGATGGTGTTCTTGTTACAGTTAATCCCAGTCTTGGTGAGTGGCACAGGAGTCTGTGGGTTGTGTATGCTTTTGGACTTAGGTCAGCTTCCTGGAGAGAAAAGTCTTTATAGGCTTCCCAGCACCCCTAGGCCTGTCCCTGAAGTCCAGGGAACTCAGCCTCTCGGCTCAACCCCCTATGCTGCTATTCCTACCTTGTTCCCCCCACCCGCCCCAACTTTAGTTTCACTGTTTGGAGCAGTGTTTGGAGGTCTAGAAGCCCAGAGCAAATATTTAGAATGTTCAGCATGAATGTGGTGTCTAAGAATAATTTGTATAGGAGAGCTTCTTTTCTTCTTGGGGATGTAGTGTGAGTCTATAGTGAAAGAACACTGATATAGGAGTCAGGAGACCCGAGCTCTAGTCCCAACAGTGCCATTAATTGACTTTGTGACCTTGAGCAAGATATTTCCCCTTCTCCTGGGCTCAGTTTTCTCATCAGTAACATGAGGAGGTTGGGATAATCCTTAAGGCCCCTTCAACTCTGATGTACTGTACTATGCTTCTGAGACTTAGTACAAGGCTGCTTGGCCCCTTTTAGGAATAAATTGCTGCTCATGACCTTGCTCTTTCCAGGTGTCTGTGACCACATTTTCAGTTTACGTCCTGGTGGATAGCAGCAATATTTTGGATGCAGAAAAGGCCTTCACTTCCATCACACTCTTCAATATCCTGCGCTTTCCCCTGAGCATGCTTCCCATGGTAGTCTCCTCCGTTCTCCAGGTAGGTAAGAATGCTCACTGCTGAATGCTTATCTCTGGTTAAAAGCCTTAGATTCCAGAATGACTGACATATCATATCCCATTTGGAGAACTTTCAATTAGAGAGAGCTGTTTGGTCTCTGAAGACCAATGGTTTGATTTTAATAAAATCACAAGCTCCCTGAGCTCTAATTTATCTGACTGTAATATGAAGATAATCATACCAATCTCATCTACCTCACAAGGAGACAATGCTTATGAAGGCATTTAGTCAAATTATTATGATTAGCCCTGGTACCTGGAACATTTCTAAGCCCTTTTCCCAGCCAGTTTCTCTGAGATTTTTCCAAGGCTCTTGCAGTATTCCTGGGCAAATATGGCACAAAGACCCAGAAAAGCCATGTGGTGGTAAAACCAAATGCAATTGAATCTCAAGCTGTCAGAAAATGAGCTTGGAGTTCAGGAGTCCTTGGATGAGCCAGAGAGAGTGTCTGAGTCCTGAAAACTGAGACAGAATAAGTATCAGATGTCAGAAGGAAGTTCACAGGACAGGTGGCAGGCTGTGATACAGCCTGGGTGACAGGGAGGTAGAGTGTGGTGACTACACGTCTGAGAGCAGGTGATCTGCCTGTATCCCAGAAGTGGCTGGCTTCAGACAGTTCAGGCCACAGGAAGGACTGGGGTTTAGGAAAAGGCCTCCCTGTCCCGGGGAGTGTCAGCCCTGGGGAGTGTCAAGCAAGGCTGACAGGTTTGGCCAGTAAAGAAGCTACATGCCCTTTTTAGATTCAGACAGTTATTACTTACATAGATAGCAAAAAGAAGATCAGCAAAGATATTAGCTCCCTGCACTCCTTGTCTTATAAGATGATACTGAAACAAAAGGGGCCAGATGACAGTGTAAGATGGGGAGCTGATTGTTGCTGAGGAAATGATTTCATGCTGCAGCTAAGCAGTTTTATAGCCTCCAGTTGTACCCTAAGGAAGGGCAAGGCAGAAAGCCCTTCATCAGAACCTGGGTGGCAATGAGAAACTATCTCAAGACATCCTTTGTGGAAGATAGGGCAGCAGGTGAAAAATATCCTGTAGAAACTCCTTGAAATCCTCTCTAGTTCTCAGCTGCTTTGCCTATGTAGAGATGTGGAAGGTCACCATGGTACCATGACAGAGCCATCCCCCTTGCAGAGAGTACCAGTAGTATATCAGTTAGAATACGAGATGAGTCATAAAGGTATGGACTCAATTAAAGAAGACTAAGCCAAGGGTCCACTTACCAGAACCAGATGGAAGTTAGGAGTTTGTCTTAGAGGAAGGCAGGAGATGGTTTCTGGAACTGGGGCCAAAGATCAAAGAGTGACAGCAGTAGAGTTGAACTCACTGAGTAAGGGGCTGAAACAGAGCATTTTAATTTCCCTTGGTCCACGGTAGGATGGCTCCCACCTCTGAGTAGGGCTGAGTCTGTAGTGGGAGTCAGGAGGTTCCAGCTATGGCAAATGGCAAATTCATGGGCAAGAAGACTGGCAGGTTAACTATCTGCTTCCACACCCAAGGCTGATGACACAAAGCCAGGAAACCTCTCCCTGCTTGTTCTTGCTATTGGATTTTTTTATTTTTGAGATCCTTTGTGTCCCTCTCTAGGCCAGTGTTTCTGTAGAACGGCTAGAGAAGTACTTAGCGGGCGATGACTTGGACACATCTGCCATTCGACGTGTCTCCAATTCTGGTAAATAAATTTGGAAGTTGCTTCCCAAACTTATTCACAGTGGTGGCGCCACAATTTTGATATACAAGGGCTTAGCAGGAGTAAACTGATTAGAAAGGAAACTTATCTTGAACCCATGTTTGCATAACAAGCATACTGTTTTTATTTAGATTCTGTTTTCATTTAGAGCAGATTGCTTAGCAAGATTGCTAAGCAAAGCTGGGCCAGTTGTTCTGAGGAGAAGCAAGGAGTCCTACAAAGGGCCCCGAAACAGTAGTCAGGATGGAGCTGAGCATGTGGAATCGGGAAGGTAGCCTGGAGTAAAAGAGCACACGTGTTCTGAAGGTTTTAAGGATTGAGGGCATCCACTGCCAGAGTGAGCAGTGGTCTGGAACCCAGAACAGGGAGTGGCTGGATTTATATAAGAGGTGGACTTCATACAAGGAGACTAGGCAACAGGGGGGTTGGGAACATACCTGGAATATCTGGAGGACAGGAATGTGGGCTGCTTACAGGCTTGGGGCTCCTGAATTAAAAAGGACTTCCTATGGAGGCCACTTTTGGTCTCAGGAACATTTGTTCACCTCCTATTAGTTTAGGAGCCAGCATATGACAGAGGTTATCTCGGGTCTGCTGGACATGTGTGGGCTAAGAAAGAGTAGACTGACATGTAGGGACTTACATCTGACTAAAAGAGGGGGCCTTTATCTCGACAGACAAAGCTGTGCAGTTGTCTGAGGCCTCCTTTACTTGGGACCATGACTTGGAAACCACAATCCGAGAGTGAGTTGCCTTTCATCCATCCTGCTGTTTTTTAGGATTCTCCTTGCCAGTCCTGTTCTTGGAAAATTCCATGTTATAGAACACATGGGGGAAGTGCCATGTGCATGTGCTGACAGCAAAAAACGTGAGCCTCTTTCCTCAGAACTGCTTCTGCCACTTAGATTTTCTATTGTGGGACTCTGCACACCAGCTGAGAACCCAGACTGTGGAGGAAGGTAGTGCAGTGTTGGCAGGTGGCCTGGGTCTCTGGATATGGTAAAGGATGCACACAAGAATTTGAATTAAATTTAAATTCTTTTATTCATGTAACAATAGTAATCAGGAGCATCAAAATCTGGCTTTTCTCCAGAGTGGACAGTGGGAGGTGCCTTCATAAGATTCAACTTCAGATCTGGAGTTTTACATCTTAATAACCCATTCCCACACGCCACACTATAGGCCACCTCCTCTGCTAACAGGTGTTGCTGCCCTAAGCCAACTCCCTCTTGCCCACTGTTGCCAGTAGCATGTCTTTTAAGCACTACATGTAACAGCACACCCCAACTCATCCACTGAGCCCAGCACACACAGAATGCACCAGGAGCCTGAGTAGGCCTGTACCTTTTTTTTTCTCATAACCGAGCACACCTTATTGTCTCCCTGCTACACCCATGATTTCCACTCTTATTTCCTATTCCTATGGCCTTTAAGATGGACTCTGGCATTAGATCTGGGATGAGTTAGGGCAGGAGCCCTGCTTTTAACCTTCTCAATCCAAAAGCCTCCCTTTACAAGAGGAGACATAGTTTCTTCTTAACTGGCTCATATCTGAAAGAAGTTCAGCTCCATGGTAGAAAGAGTATGAACAAGTTCTTGATGTTCCTAATGTTTAGGGAATCAAATAAGAAGGCTAACACACAGAGTTCTCAGAAGTCTAGCCCAGTGTGGGTCCTTCCCCAGCCAGACATAATCTCCAGGGGAGGGGCCAGGGAATCTGTGCTTTTAGCAAGTGTTTCAGATGACTCATTGAATAGCCAACTTTGGGAAACACTGATCTAATCCAACCCCATTAGTTGAGAAATGAGGATTCTTAATCCAGAGGAAGTGACCTTCCAAGATCACACAGCTCTGCAGTGACACATTGGAACTTGAACCAGGTCTCTGGCTCCCAATCTGGTGCTTGTTCAATGGCACCATGCTGATTCTAGGAGACTATTTCCACATGATGCCAACATTTGTCACAGACAGCTTATAGATGAGTTGGATAAGTTAAGTCTCATTCTGTAGGTTCTTAGAGCTAAAAAATCATCAGAGAAGCACTTTGAGGCCTTGTATATCCAAGGAAAATTTTCCAATCTTGAGGGGAAATTTCCTAATACCAGACTCCCTTTGGAGAGTCTGAAAAGTGACTTGAATTACTCTTGAATAACTCCTCATCTCCTCCGAATATGCTTCTTTCTTTCAGTGTCACCCTGGACATTATGCCAGGCCAGTTGGTGGCTGTGGTTGGCACTGTGGGCTCTGGGAAATCCTCCTTGATGTCAGCCATCCTGGGAGAAATGGAAAATGTCCATGGACACATCACCATCAAGGTGAGAGGGAATGCAAATGGAGAAGACTTCTGACACTCAAACGTAGGCTGCAGCGAGTGCTGCCTTCACTTTTGGGAGGATCCACTAAGGACTAGAATCTAAGAACCACTGCTCTAGTTTCTGTAGGCGAGCTCTTAGAGAAATCTGGTGGACATGTAAACTGTAGATTCCCTGCCCCATCCCAAGCTTATGTAATCAGACTCTGGGGGTAGGACCTGAGAATCTGAATCTTTACTGGTTCCCCAGGTGATTCTCATATGCATACTAACATTTGAAACCTAGAGAAGTCTCCCTTCAAAATATAACCATCTCTGCTATAACTATATATGTGTTTCTGAAAACCTCAAGTTCTGCAAAATTGTGCAATAAAAATATTGGGTACTAAGGAAAAGAAATTGGAACAGATCACTCAAAACCTAGGTAATTTTGTAGCCAGAGTACCAACAAAAATAGTCAACAACAATAGTAACAACCAATACAAACAGTAGCACTGTAAAATCTCCAGTGACATTTGCACGAAGTATCACAGTCCTGGGGCTCTCACCTCATCCTTTGAATGCTAGGTCTCTGAGGGTATTTGCTTCTAATAAAAACAAATCTGATGTAGGGCGTAGACTTCTTCATCAATTGTTATCATTTTTTAACACAGAGTTGTTTCAATGACATCTTTATCAGCACTCTCAGTTTTACCAGAGAGCTAAATTTAGGTATTTTTAAGTCATTAAACCAGTCACTACTTGCACCAAAGAGAAACTTCTGTTGATTTTCAGCTTTTCTCTTAAGGTCTTCATATAGTGCTAAGGCTTATTCTTTAATTATGAGAAAGTATGCCCGTGATAGCTTTAAAACATCAACGTGCCTGGAAAAAATTTTAAGAACCAACACTCCTTTCACATTATACTGCCAACATTCCCTTATTTACCAATTACCAATGAGCTGATTTGCCTTAGGCATACACTATAGCAGAGCAGACTGCAGATCTCTTCTAACTCCCTTTAGGAAGCTTTTTCTTACTAACTCATAACTGAGTCTGTCCTCGGTCATCGGTCAGGCTCCATCTCTCTTTGTACATGATCTGCTTGTGCATCACCGTGACATCCTAATTCCAACCTCTTAGTTCTTGCTTCCTAGGATGTCTTCCGTACTCTTCCCCCTGCCAGTGTTAGTGCTCCATTGATCAAACTCACTGGGGTTTGACTAAACCCAGGTCTAGAAGCAGCCCTTGCATTCATCCTCTGATTTTCAGGATCATAACTAGAATGCGATAGTCAAAAAAAAAAAAAAACAAAAAAGTGCTAAATGGTGAATTGGATGTCGCATGTTTTCTCCCTGGTCAGAGAAAAACACACTTATAAACATCAGATGGTCAGCCAGCAGGACATACATTTCTACAAATCTAAGCTCCATTTGTTCCTCCCCCACCCTCCTGCTACCCCATCCTTCAACCTTGCAATTCTGGAGAGGCAACTGTCATGTGTTCTAATCCTTTCTGGTCTAGGGCACTATTGCCTATGTCCCACAGCAGTCCTGGATCCAGAATGGCACCATAAAAGACAACATCCTTTTTGGATCAGAGTTGAATGAAGAGAAGTACCAGCAAGTTCTAGAGGCCTGTGCCCTCCTCCCAGACTTGGAAGTCCTGCCTGGAAGAGATCTGGCTGAGATTGGCGAGAAGGTATTTGGGCATCAAGGGACCTTGAAGGGGTGAAGAAATACTAAAGAAAAAGTGGGGATGTTGAAGGGGCACATTCGAGTAAAATTGGTTGACCAATTTTGGTAGTCGTATCAAGAGCAGATACCAGAAAACTTCTGTTAACTGGCCACAGTATTGTGTGTAAATCACTCGAAATTTTTTAACTTTGTGCCTGGAAATGAACATAGAAATAATGTATTCTAAATCAAAAGTGATGAGGCTAAGGATCAGAGAGGTTAAATTACCTGTGACTGACCCAAGCTTCACCTCACACGTGGAGAGGCAAAGGAGGGACCAGAGCCTAGGTATACTGACTGTACTTCTGTATATTAGTGAGGGTCAGAGAAGGGTTCTAGTAATCTGCTTCAATCACTTAGGAATTTATTGTGAATTATTTTCTTAGGTTATTAAATGCCTTTCTTTAACATATATTTTTAATGGCTATACCGTATTCCATTATTTAGGTATATCAAAAACCAAACGAAACCTGTTACTGTTGAGTCAATTCCAACTCATAGTGACCCTAAAGGACAGAATAGAACTGCCCCATAGGGTTTCCAGGAAGTAGCTGGTGGATTTGAACTGTTGGCCTTTTGGTTGGCAGCCACACTCTTAACCACTGCCATCAGGGCTTCTTATTTTGGGTATATCATAATTTATTTAGAAATTCCTGATTACTACATATTAGGACATTTTCATCCTCCCACTCCATTACTAAAAATAAATACAGTAGTCTTTGGGGGACAAGGATCTTAAGATGTTACAAGACCAGTGAAGACACAGCTCCAGAGTAGTTTTGTTCATTGCTTCAGCATAAATTTATTGAGTACCTACTATGTACCAGGCACTATTTTAAGTGCTGGAGTTACATCCATGGACAAAACAGAGAAAATCTCTGCCCTGGTGCATCAGTGCATCTCCGTGGCATCCTAATTCCAACCTCTTAGTTCTTGCTTCCGAGGATGTTTTCCATACTCTTCACCCTGCCAGTATTAGTGCTCAGTTGTCAAACTCATTAGGGTTTGACTAAACCCAGGTCTAGAAGCAGCACTTGCATTCATCCTCTGATCTTCAGGATCATGACTAGAATGTGATATACATTCACATTCTCATGAAGGTGAAGGGTGGAACAACAAACATAATAAATAAGTAAATATGTGATCAAAAATGGTAAATTGGAACAGCTTTAATTATTGGGCATAAAGTTATTTATTTGTATAAAGGAACTTGTAAGATTTTAAAACCCTTGATACCTTATTGAGACAAATCTCTTCCTTACTCCTATTTATTAGCTCTGTGAAGGTGGGACCAGGGAGTAGTGCTTAATGAAAATTGTTTTCTTCTTCAGGGTATAAATCTCAGTGGGGGCCAGAAGCAGAGGATTAGCCTGGCCAGAGCTACCTACCAAGATTCAGACATCTATATTCTGGATGATCCACTGTCAGCTGTGGATGCTCATGTAGGAAAACATATTTTCAATAAGGTCCTGGGCCCCAATGGCCTGTTGAAAGGCAAGGTGAGAAGTCATCTAAAGTGAAGAAGACATGGGGGCAGGGGACACACGTTTCTCAGGTCAGCTGTTGTCCTGGAGCATACTTCCTTACTTACCTAACCCCTGGGTGCCTCAGGAGATATAATGTTAGACTGGTCTCCCAGGAATCTATCCCATGAAGGCACCCATCTTCAGGCCACGGCCTATGCCAGAGTTGGCTAATTGAAGCCTTATTCTGTGGCTCCAACATTAAGCATCTTTGACTGGTTGATTATGATTAAAAGCACTTTGGCACCCAACAACTCACCTCATCGGCAGGACACAGGTCATCCTGCAGGTGCTCTAAGAAGGTACTTTCCCTGGAACCCTCTCAGGACATGAGAACACAGCACCTGTAAAGGGTGGCTCAAGCTGAACATAAAAATAATACCTAACATATATTGAGTGTTCACTGTGTTTCAGGCCTGTGTTAAGCACTTTGAGGGCATTGTTTCATTTGATTCCCATGATGCCCATGTGACATAGTACAGGCAAAGTAGCCAGAGCAAGTCACTAGGGCTGGCTGTAGCTGGAGACTAAGTTTTCTTTACCATGGGCAAGTTAGCATATTTGTCCTGACTCTGTGGGTTGAATTGGAGGAGGGGCTCTCAGAGTAGGGGCTGTCAATGACAGCATCTCCTTTGGCACTGGGCGGTGACATTCTGACTGTATTTGGATTTCTTGAATGCTACCAGTCAGAAGATTTCTTGAATGCTACCAGTCAGAAGATTTCAGGACTGACGAGACCTGGGCTGCTGTCCCACTAAGGTCCTCTGCCTCTCTCTTGGTTCAGTGAGTCAACAGGAACTCACTATCTCTTCTATTCATTGTCCTGGTTTCTCTTCTTAAATCCTTCTGACTTCATTGATTCATGAACCGAATACCCACCCTGTGCCAGGTTTGTTGCAAAATCTGGGCATGAATAGCTGAAAATGCCTAGACCCTCCTCTCAAGTAACTTATAGTCTAATAGGAAGACATACAGAAAAGCAAACTATTATCAATCAAGAATCATTTTTAATGGAAGTCTATACAAACTACAGTGGAAACATTGAAGGAGTAGCCAATGCCAGGAGTATTTCCAGCAGTCAGAAAAGGTTCTCAGAAAAGCTGATTGTGAAGTAGACGGCAGAGGCAGTAGACTTGTGTGATCTCTCTAGAGATTCATCTCAATCCCATAGCCCCTACCTGAGCATCATCACTGACCTATCAGTGTTTGTCTTTCTTTGAGTGGAGTTTCTGTCTCAGTATTCAGTGTGGTTCATAAATAGTTTGGAACACAAGGGATGTCAAGTCTTCCACACCAGGGAGGGCCTGGAATAAAGATAAAATTTCTTGCCCCACAGTGTCTCTAACATGTTAAAAGAATCTGGTCGTTCTTATTAATTCAGCTGGTTAGCTGGGTTGGTAAAAGGGGCAGTGTAAGTTAGTTAGTTTTATATTGCTAGGCCTTGCTCTCAAGTGACATTCCTAAGCCCAAGTTCTGGCTACCCAGGAAATTGGAGGAGAATGTACGTAGGGCAGACCTCATTGTCACTACAGGAAAATAACTGTAAGTATGTCCACGATGACAGGAGTTTCATCTTACATATAGGGTTGGGTTGTTAGGATGAGATGCTGGGGAGGAAAGAGGAAGCAAAAAACGCCAAGTAGTTAGGTCCACATTTTGAAGCAAAGCCCTATAAACTAGATTGAGGTATCTGTTTTTTCCTTTTAGAGTAGTAAGCCAGGGAAGATGGTGGACATAAGGCAGTCAGCACAACTTAATATTATTTTTACAGACTCGACTCTTGGTTACGCATAGCATTCACTTTCTTCCCCAAGTGGATGAGATAGTAGTTCTGGAGAATGGCACTGTCTTGGAGAAGGGATCCTATAGCACTCTGCTGGCCAATAAAGGAGTATTTGCTAAGAATCTCAAAATATACACCAGACAGACAGATCCCGAAGATGAGGCCACAGGTATGTAAAGAGGCTTGGAATGGGATAGAACTTGGGGCATGGGAAGGAGTCAAAACAGTGGACTTCTATCTACCTCCTCACCTGTTTAGTATCCAGTAGACTGGATTCAAGCTCAGCTCTTTCCATGTTCCGTGTCTCTCTCTGTAAAGGAGCACAGAAATAGAAACTCGATGACTGGGTCAAACTGGTAGCTCATCCAGCTTATCTGGTCTATGACATCCAATCAAAGGACACTCTTTAGAAGGTTATGACTGGAGATTTGCGTGGAGTAACCCTTGTGGAAGAAACACCAGTGGCATAATGAGTCCCTTTTGAGGGATGCCATGCTTCTATTGACTCAAGCCACCCACCCACCCAACCTACTCCAAATCCAATAAAACCACTTCCTAGACGGCATCATAGGCTGGCGCTAATAGTTGTTAGGTGCGGTTGAATCGGTTCAGACTCATAGCAACCCTGTGTACAACAGAACGAAATACTGCCTGATCCTGTGCCATCATCACAATCGTTACTACGCTTGAGCCCATTGTTGCAGCCACTGTGTCTATCCATTTCATTGAGCGTCTTTCTCTTTTTTGCGACCCTTTCCTTTACCAAGCATGATGTCCTTCTCCAGGGACTGGTCCCTCCCGATAACATGTCCAAAGTACGTGAGACAAAGTCTCACCATCCTTGCTTCTAAAGAGCATTCTGACTGTACTTCTTCCAAGACAGATTTGTTCATTCTTCTGGCAGTCCATAGTATATTCAATATTCTTTGCCAACACCATAATTCAAAGGCATCAGTTCTTCTTTGGTCTTCCTTATTCGTTGTCCAGCTTTTGAAAGCATATGAGATGACTGAAAATACCATGGCTTGGGACAGGTGTACCTTAGTCCTCAAAGTGACATCTTTGCTTTTTAAAACTTTAAAGAGGTCTTTTGCAGCAGATTTTCCCAGTGCAATGCATCATTTGATTTCTTAACTACTGCTTCCATTGGTGTTGATTGTGACTCTAAATAAAATGAAATCCGTGACAACTTCAATCTTTTCTCCATTTATCATGATGTTGCTTATTGGTCCAGTTGTGAGAACTTTTGTTTTCTTTATGTTGAGATGTAATCCATACTGCATGTTGTAGTGTTTGATCTTCATCAGTAAGTGCTTCAAGTCCTCTTCACTTTCAGCAAGCAAGGTTGTGTCATATGCATATCACAGGTTGTTAATGAGTCCTTCCCCAATCCTGATGCCACATTCTTCTTCATATAGTCCAGCTTCTCAGATTATTTGCTCAGTGTACAGATTGAATAAATATGGTAAAAGGATATAATCCTGACACACACTTTTCCTGATTTTAAACCATGCAATATCCCCTTGTTCTGTTCCAACAATTGCCTCTTGGTCTATGTACAGGTTCCACATGAGCACAATTAAATGTTCTGGAATTCCCATTCTTTTCAGTGTTACCTGTAATTTGTTATGATCCACACAGTCAAATACCTTTGCATAGTCAATAAAACACAGGTAAACATCTTTCTGGCATTCTCTGCCTTCAGCCAAGATCCATCTGACATCAGCAATGATATCCCTCATTCCACATCCTCTTCTGAATCCAGCTTGAATTTCTGGCAGTTCCCTGTCGATGTACTGTTGCAGCCACTTTTGAATTACCTTCAGCCAAATTTTACTTGTGTGTGGTATTAATGATATTATTCAATAATTTCCTTATTCTGTTGGATCACCTTTCTTTGGAATGGACACAAATATGGATCTCTTCCAGTCTGTTGGCCAGGTGGGTGTCTTCCAGATTTCCTGACATAGACAAGTGAGTACCTTCAGTGCTGCATCCATTTGTTGAAACATCTCAATTGGTATTCCATCAATTCCTGGAGCCTTATTTTTTGCTGATGCCTTCAGTGCAGCTTGAACTTCTTCCTTCAGTACCATCAGTTCTTGATCATGTGCTACCTCCTGAAATGGTTGAACATAGACCAAATCTTTTTGGTACAGTGACTCTGTGTATTCCTTCCATCTGCTTTTGATGCTTCCTGCGTCATTCAATATTTTTCCCATGGAATTCCCCAAAGTTGCAACTTGAGGCTTGAATTTTTTCTTCAGTTCTTTCAGCTTGAGAATTGCCAAACATGTTCTTCCTTTTTGGTTTTCTGACTCCAGGTCTTTGCACATTTCATTATAATACTTTCTCTGTCTTCTTGAGCTGCCCTTTGAAATTGTCTGTTCAGCTCTTTTACTTCATCATTTCTTCCATTTGCTTTAGCTACTCTACATTCAAGAGCAAGTTTCAGAGTCTCTTCTGACATCCATTTTGGCCTTTTCTTTCTTTCCTGTCTTTTTAATGACCTTTTGCTTTCTTCATGTATGATGTCCTTGATGTCATTCCATAACTCGTCCAGTCTTCGGTCATTAGTGTTTAATGTGTCAAATCTATTCTTGAGATCGTCTCTAAATTCAGGTGGGATATGTACTCAAGGTTGTACTTTGGCTCTCATGGACTTGTTTTAATTTTCTTCAGCTTCAACTTGAACTTGCATGTGAGCAATTGATGGTTTGTTCCACAGTCGGCTTCTTGCCTTGTTCTGACTGATGATATGGAGCTTCTGCATCATCTCTTTCCACAGATGTAGTCGATTTGATTCCTGAGTATTCTATCCAGTGAGGTCCATGTGTGTAGTCACTTTTTTTTGTTGTTGTTAAAAGAGGTATTTGCAATGAATAAGTTGTTGGTCTTGCAAAATTCTATCATGTGATCTCCAGTGCCATTTCTATCACAAAAGCCATATTTTCCAACTGTTGATCCTTCTTCTTTGTTTGCAGCCTTCGTATTCCAATCACCAATAATTATCTGTGCATCTTCATCAGTGCGTCATAGGCTGGCACTAATAGTGTACTGCTAAATTCTTGATACACTCTAGCAAAGAAATCTTGATGAATACACCAGAAACCGTTGGGTGTTTTGGACCAGAAAAATCATGGCAGTTGTATAGTCTCACCGTATACTACAGAAACATCCACTAATATCACCATCATCAGGTTCACAGATTAGCTGCAGTAGCAATGGAGCCCAGATCACTGTGACCCTTCCTAAGAACCTGTCAATAATAGTCCTGTGCATAGTTCTAGGTGTCAGCTTCATGCAGTGGTCACCAGCAGGATGACAGACCTGAGAAAGAAAGGCCTGGAGGGTGTAGGGAAATTCTAGAAGGCAAAGGAGTAGTTGCAGACCCTCCAAGTGGCAGAACATGTGATGATTTAAAACCAGAATCTGAAAGAAAAACCTAAGCCAGGAAGGCTGTAAGCATAGGAGGGACAGGGCAGGAACAAAGAAGAGAATGGTGTGGGATTGCAAGCCAGGCCAGGAGAGTGGGCAAGGGGTACAGGCATCAACAGAAAGGAAAGAGAGTTTTTCATCAGTCTGTATGTGCTAACCAGACTTACTGGTCTGACAGAGACTGGAGAAATCCCCAGAGTCTGGCCTTCAGAGACCCTTTTAACTTAGTACTGAAGTCACTCCTGAAGTTCACCCTTCAGCTAAAGATTAGACAGGCCTGTAAAACAAACAATAATACACATAGTTCAACCATTTATATAAGATTAAATGGGCACACCAGTCCAAAAGCAAAGATGAGAAGTCAGGAAAGGACAAGAAAGCTGGATGAATGAAAATGGGGAACCCGAGATTGAGAAGGGGAGAGTGTTGACACACCACAGGGATGGCAACCAATGTCACAAAACAATATATGCATTAATTGTTTAATGAGAAATTAATTTGTTCTGTAAGCTTTCACCTAAAGCACACACACACACAAAAAAAGCACCAGAGTGAGAAGTGAAGGACCCAAGCCAAGGGGAGTGTCTGATGCTGGATCCCCTTGAGATACTTCTTAGTCAACCATATTATCATGACTTAGACAGTTTTCTTATGCTAAGTCTAAACATTTTTTTCTGATTTGCCTGGATCTGAGTTTCTAGATTCTGTTATAACCTCCCATGGGTGGACAGCCCTCCTTGAAGAATCTCTCTTTTGTGTACAAAGGGCAGTTTGCAAAACAGCCCAGTAAGTTCTTATTCTGGTGAACATTGATAGGCCATTTCTGAGCAGTTATGTAAGCCCCAGTGTCTGGCATGCTGTAGTGTTGATTCTAGGACTTCGGTTTTAGACCATGGGATGGTAGAAAGAAGAAAAGGGCCAGAGGGCAAGGTTAGCTGTATCAATATTGAGTTTCTGAGGTTATTTTCCAGATTGTTTTCCTTGAAACCTAGCATATTGCTAGTCAGCATTCAACGTATCTTTCTGTATCATATACACATAGGATGCATGTGTTTATATTCATTTGTTAATTCATCTACAAATATTTTAGCATCTACTATGTATAAAATTGGGACATCATTTTTTATATCAGGCTTTTTTTTGAGATAAAATTCACTCTTTTAAAGTGTACAATTCAGTAGATTTTAGTATATTCACAAAGTTGTGCAACTATCACCACTATGTAATTCCAGAACATTTTCATCTCCCCATACTCATTAGCAGTAACTCCCTATCCTCTCCTCCCCCTAGTCCCTGGATACAAGTCTCTTATCAGATATATGATTGGCAAATATTTTCTCCCATTCTGTGGGTTGTCTTTTCACTTTCTCAGCAGTGTCTTCTCAAGCACGAGTATCTTTAAATTTGATGAAATCCAATTTTCCCATTTTGCCTTTTGTTACTTGTATTTTTGGTGTCAGATCTAAAAAACCATCGCCTAATCCAAGATTACCAAGATTTATGCCTATGATTTCTTCTAAGAGTTTTTCCAGTTTTAGCTCCTACATTTAGGTCTTTGATCCATTTTGAGTTGATTTTTGTATCTGAGGTAGGAGTCCAACTTCATTTTTTTTTTCTGGCTTTTATTTTTAGTGTTGTAAAAATATATCTAACACAATATTTGCCAATTCAACATTTTTCAGGTGTACAATTTAGTGATATCAATTATGTTAATCAAGTTGTGCAACCACCACCTATATTCATTGCCAAATTTCCCATCACGATAAGCACTCACTGCTTTCTAAACAATGGCACCCTTTTTCCATCTGCCTCCTACCCCTGGTAACCACTAATAAACTTTGGCCTCTATACATTTTCCTATTCTGGTTATTTCATATAAATAAGAACATACAATATTTGTCCTTTTGTGATTGACTTATATCACTGAGTGTAAGGTTTCAAGGTTCATCCACGTTGTAGCATAGATCAGGACTTCATTTCTCTTTATGGCTAAGTAGTATTCCATTGTACATATGTACCACATTTTGTTTATCATTCATCTGTTGATGAATATTTAGGTTGTTTCCACCTTTTGGCTATTGTGAATAGTGGTGCAATAAACATTGGTATACATGTGTCTGTTGAAGTTGCTGCTCTCAAGTCTCTTGTGTACATACCTAGGAGTGGAATTGCTGGGTCAGTTGGTAGTTCTCTTCAAAAAGGCCTCGTTAAAGTGTTAAAAAGCAAAGCTGTCATTTTAAGGCCCTTCGATGTTTTCATTCACCTCATATGCATGTGAAAGCTGGCCAATGAATAAGGAAGAACAAAGAAGAATTGATGCCTTTGAATTATGCTGTTGGCGAAGACTGTTGACTATATATATCACGGCCTGCCAAAAGAACGAACAAATCTGTCTGGAAAGAAGTACAGCCAGCATGCTCCTTAGAAGTGAGGATGGTGAGAGTTCATCTCGCTTACTTTAGACATGTTATCAGGAGGGACCAGTCCCTGGAGAAGGACATCATGCTTGGTAAAGTAGAGGGTCAGTGTAAAAGAGGAAGACCCTCAACAAGATGGACTGACCCAGTGGCTGCTACAACCGGCTCAAGCATAACAGCAATCATGCGAATGGCAGTGTTTCTTTCTGTTGTACACAGGGTTGCTATGAGTCAGAACCGATTCAATGGTAACAACAACAGTGGTAGTTCTGTGTTTAACCTTTTGAGAAATGAAGTCCAGAGAACTACTAGACAGGCTGAATAATGACAGTTTTCCAGGAATACGGCTTTTTAGGAAGCTCCAAAGCCATTCTGCACCCTCCAGTGGCTGCTAGACTGCTGGTTTTCATGGCTGCCATGATTGTAAGGCTTTTGGTTTTCCAGGCTACTGCAAAGCTGGGGAGGAGGCATGGCACTAGGGTACGTTAAAATGCCACAAAGCTTACTATTCTTACTGAGAATCAGTTGCTTTTTTTGAATAAATAAACATTCCTTGGATTCTTGCAAGCCTTTGGTTAATTTCTGAGTTTTGAAAAAAGTTGATTTTAACAAACTTTGCCAGTGCCCTCATTGCTTTTACGGTGGGCAGATTGTCTAAGGTCCTTGCTTCATCCACCGTTTCCACTGATGTCCAGGCCAATTTTCAGCTTTCATTTTAGTTCTAGAGTATGTTTTTTAAAAGCTTTAAATTCATAAATGTTTGTTAAACTTATTTTAATTTCAAAAAGAGCATTTTCAATTTACACTCACTTTTTTAGTCAGTTCTGGAAATGGTGACTCTTCTGTTTGTCTACCATAACACTTAAAATTTCTTTCCTGTTCTAAAGGAACTCAGAGGTTTGACTTAACTTTGGGGAGTATTTTTCTCCTTTTTGATAATTTTCTCATCTTCCTTATCCTGGTGTTGCTCAGTAAGAAGATGTACTGATAACTAGCATCTCTGAAGTAAACGATTCCAGCCTGTGTGTACATCTGAGATTCCTTGATGGGGCCAGCCAGGTCAGAGATGACTTCTCTCTCCTTATTCATAGGTCTGTGCAGCTATTTCCCTAACCTCTAATGTGTCTCCCTAGTCAATCATGGCAGTGAAGAAGAAGATGATGACTATGGGCTAATACCCAGTGTGGAGGAAATCCCTGATGATGTGGCCTCCTTGACCTTGAAAAGAGAAAACAGTCTTCATCGAACACTCAGCCGCAGGTTGGTTTTTTGTTTCCATATTTTCATTTCCCTTTGTTTCCATGGGCTTTTCCTGACGGAGCAGATACTATGGACATTGCCAGCTCTTCCTTTGTTTCATTATATGAGTGAGGGGGTGGTTAAGATGGTGTCATTTTTCCCCAATGGCCATCTGCTCTGAAATGCAGTTTGATGTGAAGCAAAATGATTGTGACATCGGCTTGCAAGAAGATCCTCAGAAAGCATCTACCTTCTCAGGGAAACTTTCTCCCTCTCTATTTCTCAGTTCTAGGTCCAATAGCAGGCGTCTGAAGTCCCTGAAAAGCACCTTGAAAAGTCAGAATGTGGGGCCAAAGCTGAAGGAGGAGGAAGAACTAGTGAAAGGACAAAAACTAATTAAGAAGGAATTCATAGAAACTGGAAAGGTGAACACTACTATAAAAAGTACCATTAGAGGTGACATAAGCTTGGGATCTAAAATTTTTAAAATTAGATAAAATCTGAATACATATATACAGGAAGGCTGTGTCCCTATGTCCTTTGCAAATCTTCAAATTTATTATTGAAATGCTTAGTAGAAGCTCTGAGGTTTCTATTAAATTATATTACCATGAAGAAAGACATGTTTCTTGTGACTATCCCCATCTGACACTTTCAGAGTGTTTGATTCCTTTCTGATGTGTGGAAAACAACAAACATGCTTTCAGATGCAATTCTGGGAGCCAGGGAACACTAACATAACAGTCTCAGAGCATACAGTTCAAATTAATAGAATTTAAAAACACAAATCCCAACGTCTGCAGTGTATCTTCATCTGCCCCAGTCTGTTTTTATATCTTGTCCCTCATAAATACCTCTGGAAGCTCACTAATAATCTGATGACTATTTACTCTGCAAGTGTATTTCAGCATTGGTCTATTATCCTGCCCCAGTGCAGCAATGGTGACTACAGACTACCAAATTTTGCTCCCTGCTGCCCACCTTTCCAGGGGACTGCACTTCCCTTTGTTCCTAAGTAATTCCTCACCATAAGCGTACAGGAATTCTACTAATACTGACGTGGGGGCTTTGCAGGTGAAGTTCTCCATCTACCTGAAATACCTACAAGCAATTGGATGGTGTTCAATATTCTTCATCATCTTTTCCTATGTGATGAATTCTGTGTCCTTTATTGGCTACAACCTCTGGCTCAGTGCTTGGACCAGCGACTCTAAAATTTTCAACAGCACCAACTATCCAGCCTCTCAGAGGGACATGAGAGTTGGAGTCTATGGAGCTCTGGGATTAGCACAATGTATGTCTGACGGCTACAACAGCTTCTCTTATAGTTTGTCTGACCCCTGTACTTTGCCTGGACTTAGGCAAACATTTGCTGTTATGTCCTTGGCACAAGTCTTCAAGGGTCCCTGTACATGGTGCTAATGAAACTGGTTCCGTTTCTAGGTGTATTTGTGCTGACAGCATCTCTCTGGTCTGCCTGCAGTAGCATCCATGCAGCCAACATCCTGCACAAGCAACTGCTGAACAATATCCTTCGAGCACCCATGAGTTTTTTTGACACAACACCCATAGGCCGGATTGTGAACAGGTTTGCTGGTGTAAGCATCTCAAGAGCTGTAAGGTGGTGTGTTCATGTGCTGAGAATCTTTCTATTTCTGACAGGAATTCTCATATTCCCCTAGACCACGCTATGCAGTTACAGTTCTTTTGTCTACCCAGCAAGCAAATGTTTCTTGTGTACCTCCTGTGAGGTCCTCAGGGTCCTGGGGATACAGTAATGAACAGCTCTGGCCCTTTAAGGAACTCACAGTCTAGTAAGGGAGGCAGCCTAGGAAATAAAAGATAATGATAGAATATGGTAAAACAAAAAACAATGGCACGTACAAGGATATTCTGGGAGTACAAAGGTGTGATAGAGAAAAGAGATACTAGCTTAGCCTGGTGACCGAGGGCAGGACATGTAAAAAAAAAAATCTGAGGTTTGAGTTAAATCTTAGAAATTAGTTAAGGCTATGTTGGGAGTAGGGGATAGGAGGGTGGCAATAGAAGCAAGGTGAGAAGGATTATTCTGCAGAGGGGAAAACATAAGGCAAAGCACTGTCACATACCTGTGACAGTAAATAAAAGGAATAACCCTTTGATTGGTCTTTGCCTCCATTCCTGAAACTTCCATCTTAGATCTGACCCATGAAAGAGGGCCATTATGATTTTAACAAGGTTCTAAAATATCATCTCCATCTACTGTAGATCCTAGAACCCTTGGCATTAATTTGTTCATTCAACAACCTTTATTGGGCACTGTCTATGAGCCAACTACTGTACTAGGCACTGGGGAACTGAGTAAATATTAAAATCATAGATGGCTGTCTTCCATGGGCCATACCTAACTCATTGATTGATTCTCAGAACGTCTGAGATTTTAAATTTCAGGAACAGGCAGAGACCAGGTGATTCTGAGCAATATTCAACTATCATTAGCACAGTTTTCAGCCCTCTGCTTGGGTGGAGGGGGCATTTTTTTTCAAATGTGTGAGAAGCTCTGGGCCTTTATTTCTTGGAGACCTAGTGGCGCAGTGGTTAAAGCACTTGGCTGCTAACCAAAAAGTTGACTGTTGGCATCCACCAGTTGCCCCACGGGAGAAGGATGTGGTGGTCTCCTTCTGTAAAGACTACAGCCTCGGAAACCCTATGGGGCAGTTTGACTCTGTCCTATAGGGTTGCTATGAGTTGGAATTGACGGCAACAGGTTTTTTGGGGGGGTTTTGGGCCAGACACAGAAAGGCTAACCTACAGTTCACAGACCACAGCCCACAGGCAGGTTGTGGGGACAAAATAACTGCTTCAAAAATGGGAAGGTGACCAGTTCCCGTTTATCATCTTCCCTTGGGTAAGTAATGGTGTTATTGGAGACAAGTTCAGTGGGATCTCTGCTCTTCAGTAGAATCTAAAAGAGCACACATTTTTTAAAAATTGTGCTTTATATGAAAGTTTACAGTTCGAGTTAGTTTCTCATGCAAAACTTTATACACACACTGCTATGTGACCCTAGTTGCACTCCCCATACTGTGACAGTACACTCCTCCTTTCGACATCAGATTTCCTGTGCCCATTCAACCAGTTCCTGTGCCTTTCTGCCTTCTCATCTCACGTCTGGTCAGGAGCTGCCCATTTAGACTTATGTATCTACTTGAGCTAAGAAGCACACTCTTCAGGAGTATCATTTTTTGTCTTATAGTCCAGTCTAATCTTTGTCTGAAGAGTTGGCTTCAAGAATGGTTTTAGTTTGGGGCTACAGAGAGTCTGGGGTCCATGTCTTCTGGGGTCCCTTCAGTCTCAGTCAGACCATTAAGTCTGGTCTTTTTACTAGAATTTGAGTTCTGCACCCCACTTTTCTCCTGCTCCATCTGGGACTCTCTGTTGTGTTCCCTGTCAGGGCAATCATTGGTGGTAGCACGGCACCATCTAGTTCTTCTGGTCTCAGGCTGATGGAAACTCTTGTTTATGTTGCCCTTTTGTGTCTTGGGCTAATATTTTCCTCGTGTCTTTGGTGTTCTTCATTCTCCTTTAAGAGCACACAATTTTTGATAGGGAGATTTCTCATAGGAATTTTGCAATGATTGCATGCTCTTTTCCCATGTTGTAATATGTATAACTAATCTTCTAGAAGAGAGAACACAGGGGTCTTACTGTGAATTATTTAGGACAATAGGCAACAATCATACTTTGCTAACTGCTTTTGTATCCCATGAAAAAGTAAACTCTCAATCATATAGTGATTTTTGTGGGGAAGTGGGTCATGCCTACAAAAGGGAGTTTGATCTAGGGTACCCTAGAACCCATGATTGGACCCTGTATCAGTCAGAGTTGTCCAGAAAGATAAAGCCTTCCTCTCTTCTTATAAAAGCCCAGGTTTGCTTCCTAAGAATCTTCTCATTTGTATATATACATATAGGGAGAGAGAGAGATTGAGATTTTAAGGAACTGGATTGTGGAGGCTGGCAAGTCTAAAACTTGTGGGGCAGGCCGGCAGGCTGGAAACTAAGGCGGGAGTTGATGTTATAATATTAAGGCAGAATTTCTTCCCAAAAAATCTTAAGGCCTTTAACTGATTGAATGAGGTCCACCCACATTATCTAGGGCAAGCTCCTTTGTTTAAAGTAGCTGATTGTAGATGTCAGCTACCTTTACAGGAATACCTAGATTAGTGTTTGATTAAATAACAAGGAGTCTCTGGGTAGTGCAAATGGTTAACATGCTCAGCTGTTAACCAAAAAGTTGGAAGTTCTAGTAAACTCAGAGGCATCTTGAAAGAAAGGCCTGGCAATCTCCTTCCAAAAACTCAGCCATTGAAAACCCTGTGGAGCACAGTCCTTCTCTGACACATATGGGGTCGCTCAACTCAACAGCAACTGGTAGTTAGGTAGTCAATAGCCTAGCCAAATTGACACATAAGACTAATCATCACAGGCCCTTAAGAGGAGTTTGAGGCAGGGGTAAAAGAAAGAAAGATGGAGAATCTGTGCCATATAAGGATCAAAAGCAATCTAGATAGAACTGATAGCTTCTGCTAACCTTGAACATACAGTTAATTTGCATTTTGATGTGACTCTGGGAAGGGCAGATTAAACTTATCGCTGAATCATCATGATTCAGGGCTCTTTCAGGAGGCTGTTATCCCTGACCAGTTTGGAGCGTTCCAGAGATAATTTGGACTTACCTTGGTACTCACATATTATTTGTCCTAGACTCAACATAATCCTCTACGAAATCTAGGCAAGGACCATACAAAATATAAATCAGGCTTTGAGCATGTTCCCAACCATCCACCCATTCATTCATTTGCTCATTTATTTATTCAATATGACAAGGTGATATGGTGGTAAGACCCACCTGTCACCTCTGGGTTCGTTCGTTAGAACACTAGCCAGACAGGGATCACATTCGACCCCCACATCCCCTTCCCCTTGAAGCTCTATGCATGGCAGAGGGAACATCTTCCTAGGTAGAAGATGGTTCTTCACTCAAGGATGGGTGACAGGGCTTATTTACTGGAGCCTCCAAACCAGTATTTTCTGAATATCTGTTACATGCCAGGCTGTGCTAGATACTCAGTGAAATCAGGACCTGTGTAAAGTTAGGATAACTGAACTGGCTTTGTGATGGGAGAAGAATTTACCTTAAGGATCTATTAGCTTACAATGGTTAGTAATAGTTTCATAAGTTTGACAAAGGGAAATTTCACTGAGAAGAGTGAAAATCTTTGCCAAGTCAATTGAAAAAGGTGAAGGATGACTGCCATATCTGTTTGGAAGGATTTAGAATGGTGACAAAATTATACAAATGAAATTGATTATTGGTGAGCAGTACAGTATAGTGCAAATGAATATCATGAGACAATTGAATGAGAGAGTCACTGGGAACAGAGAGGACCTGCTGGAATTGAGAAGATGTAAAATGTCTTAGGAATTCATTGGTACACCATCTCTCCTGTATATTCTTAGGACATTTCCACAGTAGATGAGACCCTCCCTGTTACCTTGCGGAGCTGGATTGTATGCCTTCTAGGGATCATCAGCACTCTTGTCATGATCTGCATGGCCACCCCAATCTTCACCGTCGTCATCATTCCTCTCGCCATCATTTATGTGTCTATTCAGGTAGGTTTGAAAATGGCTAGGCCTTTCTACCTCTCTCCTTATAAAAGCTCGGGCTTCTTCCTAAGAATTTTCTCTTTTGCTTATCACTCACTCCCCTATAGCATCTTTACTGTTTAGTCATTTTGATATACCAAAGAGTCCACAGACCACTGGCCGAAGCTGGAGTGCCACTGCTGATTAGTGTACAGTTTATAGAAACTATCATGTTCACTGCTGCCCCCCACCCCTAGAAGCTGGAGACCTTACAAGTGGAACCAATTTATGTCTGGATCTGAGATTACTTTGAAGTTGGCCCTGGACAAAGTCTTGGAGCGCCATGAGACTCCCCAAAATGGTTGAGCAATTGGTTGCTTCTAGAAGAGTTGTGCTACGGCTGCTTCTTCTGTTGGCTTTGAAATAGGCATATCTCCTTGGAGATGTCTCTCAGCAGGAGCTAGATCTCTTTTAACTTTAGGGAAGTTCTAGTCTCACTGGGATGTCTGTGGATGCATTAGGCATAATTGTACTATGTTCATGAGACCACAGGTAGTTTGAGAGCTAAGCCTCACAGAAAAGCTAAAGCAAGTAGAGGGGACTCTGTGCCCATAATAAAAATGGATGAAAGCGGGAGGGAAGCTGTAGAGAGGACTCTTGTCCAACCAGCTACCTTTGTGTTCACCAAAAGAAAACAATTCCAAAGACCCTGTAGGCAAGGGGGCAGCCTGTGGCCTGTGGTAAGATGGCACCTCCTGGTATTTGTGTTGAGTCTGTCAGGTACACTGATAGTAACAGCCTTTTGACTATTATTAACAAACCAACAAACAAGAAGCAGGATATTTGAAGGAACTTCCAGGTATAACATTTTGCATTCTGACTCTTAAATGCCTAGCCCTTCCCTGGTTTCAACAAATCCCACAAAATCTAGTAGCACTACTAACCCATTCTACCATACCTCACCCTTCATGCCTCATATCTGAGAGATTCTGCCTGCATTCTCTATTACATCCAGTTTCAGTTCTTAGACCCTCAACATTCCACATCCTCCAAAACTATCCTTCCCTTCACACACCACTGAGGCAAAGTTTTGGTCACTTAACTGACTCTATGCTTCAATTTTTACCTAAACCTCAGTATACCTTTCTCTGGTCATTTCCTACCCATCCCCAATTTCCACACTTCTCTGGTCCCAGATGCCTCTCAGAATCCTTTTGGAGACCACTTCTCTAACCAGTAGAGAAACTCTCATTTGAAGAATATATGTAAATTCTTGGGGAAAATGTGGATTATGCCAACAAACTTCCTCACTTGGTTTGGCAATTTATAGTCTCAATTTTGTCCTCATCTGTTCCCCACGAACCCCAGGTGTTCTCATTATTCTCCTCCTCTGGGCCTTCTCCCCATTCCTCTGGCCATGGATGAGATTGGAGGCTTCTGTCCTGTTCAGATGTAGGCTGTGGCCATCAAGGTGAAGAACATTGGCTCATGGCCAGGAAAATGTAGAGCTGTGATCTTTTTATAATATGCAACATGATTGTGTGACTAACTGTTTACTTTTTGTTGCCAGACATTTTATGTGGCTACTTCCCGCCAGCTGAGACGTCTGGACTCTGTCACTAGGTCCCCAATTTACACTCACTTCAGTGAGACTGTGTCAGGTTTGCCTGTTATTCGTGCCTTAGGGCACCAGCAGCGATTTCTAAAACTCAATGAGGTGGGGGTTGACACCAACCAGAAATGTGTCTTTTCCTGGATTGTCTCCAACAGGTGAGGCTGTTCCTAGGTTTTTACCCAAATGTATGCTTTGCGGTTCTGTATGTTTGACATTAGCACGGCTGGGCAGGTGTGGCCAGCAGATGTGAAGTCACTCTGGCCCACACTCCTGTCATGTTATTTAAGTAGAGAGAAGAAGCATGACTTGGAGTCAGAAACCTGAGTTCTTGTGCCAACTCTGCCACCTACCAGCTATTGAATTGACTTGATGTTTCTAAGGAAATTCTCATTTTCTTTGAATTTACAATGGGTAGAATGCAACCTATTTCACAAGGTTATTGTGGAAGTAAAATGAGATTTGTGAGCATTTTGTAACTCAGGTACCATGCTAGTATAGGTGACCTGGGTGCTCTCTGTTTTCTTCCTTGAGGATGGATGTGAGATTCTCCATAGAAATGCTATTCTTTTTAGGATGGTGAAAGAAACAGAGTTTGGAGGGAGGAGAGTTGGGAATTTTTAGGTAAAACCGAACAAAGCAATGATGACAGAAATGGAAAGCTCATGTCCTGGGAGGTGAACCCATGAACAGGATGAGCATGATTCATCTGGCATCACCAGACCCCAGAAAGCAGCAGTATATCCTTGAAGGAGGGAGGTCTTTTTCAGGAAAGTGGAAATTCTTGAGTGGTTCCCAAGGTGTCTTGACATGCTAAGGGTAGATCAACAATGCTTAGTATTATTTGGAACATAGAGAGGTCAAGAGATTGATGGTAAAGATATTTTACTTAGAGACTTTCCAAGAAGGAAATGGGCATCTAAGTTGATCCTATAGGACCCCACCAGAAATATTTAACATATTTCTATGTACACATGTTAGAATTATTGGTGTAAATATTTAAATACATTTTATTTGGTAAATTCAATTTTTATAATCAACTTCCATCTATATACTCTCAAGTTCCCTACAGAGTCTAAATGCATTTCCCTGTGTTCAGTGAACACCTAACTTCCCTCCTCCTCCAGCTTATTTCCCCTTTTTTTCTTTAATAATAAGTTCAGACAGCGTACATTAAACCTTTCTATAGTGCTTACTTTTTAACCTTACATATGGATTCACTATGGCATTGCTTCCCAAACCTGCTTGATCGAAAGAATCACTTAGAGCATTTGTTAAAAATGCAAATTATATCCTCAAATTCATATGGAATTGCAAAGGTCCCCAAGTAAACAAAACAACCTTGAAAAATAAGAGCTAAATAGGAGGACTCACACATCCCACTTTTAAAGCATAAGATAAAGCCATAGTAATCAAAACAAAACAGTGTGGTAGTAGTACAAGAATGGACATACACACCAATGGAATAAATAGAATTGAGAATCCAGAGAGAAACATCTTGGTCAGTTGACTTTCAACAAGGGTGCCAGGTCCATTCAATGGGAAAAGAAGGATCTCTCCAATAAATGGTGGTGGGACAACTGATTTCCACATGCAAAAGAATGAAGTTGGACCTGTACCTCATACCACTTAGGGAAATTAACTCAAAATGCATCAATGGCCTAAAACCATCAAACTCTTAGAAGAAAACGTAACAGTAAAGCTTCAAGACCTAGTGTTTGACGATGTATTATTATATATGACACCAAAAGCACAAATATCAAAAGAAAAAATAGATAAATTGGACTTCATCAAAATTAAGTTTTTGTACGTCAAAGCAGCTTATCAAGAAAGTGAAGACGCAACCTGCAGAATGATAGAAAATATTTGGGAACCATATATCTGATAAGGGTTTAATATCCAAAATATATAAAGAATTCCTACAACAATAAGACAAACAACCCAATAAAAAAATGGGCAAAAGATTTGAATAGACATTTCTCCAAAGGAGATACACAAATAGCAAATGAGCACATGAAAAGATGCTCAACATCATTAGTCATTGCTGTGTTGTTGTTAGGTGCCATCAAGTTGGTTCTGACTCATAGCGACCCTGTGCACCACAGAATAAAAACACTGCCCGTCCTGCACCATGCTCACAATCGTTGTTATGCTTCAGCCCATTGTTGCAGCCACTGTGTCAGTCAATCTCATTGAGCGTCTTCCTCCTCTTTTTCGCTGACCCTGTACTTTACCGAGCATGATGTCCTTCTCCAGGGACTGATCCCTCCTGACAACATGTCCAAAGTATGTAAGACGTAGTCTCGCCATCCTTCCTTCTAAGGAGCATTCTGGTTGTACTTCTTCCAAGGCAGATTTGTTCATTCTTTTGGCAGTCCATGGTATAGTCAATATTATTCACCAGCACCACAATTCAAAGGCTTCAATTCTTCTTCGGTTTTCCTTATTCATTGTCCAGCTTTCATATGCATATGATGCGATTGAAAATACCATGGCTTGGGTCAGGCGCACCTTAGTCTTCAAGGTGACATCGTTGCTTTTCAACACTTTAGAGAGGTCTTTTTCAGCAGATTTGCCCAATGCAATGCGTCTTTTGATTTCCTGTCTGCTGCTTCCATGGGTGTTGATTGTGGATCCAAGTAAAATGAAATCCTTGACAACTTCAATATTTTCTCTGTTTATCATGATGTTGCTTATTTGTCCAGTTGTAAGCATTTGGTTTTCTTCATGTTGAGGTGTAATCTATACTGAAGGCTGTGGTCTTTGATCTTCACCAGTAAGTGCTTCAAGTCCTCTTCACTTTCAGCAAGCAAGGTTGTGTCCTCTGCATAATGAAGGTTGTTAATGAGTCTTTCTCCAGTCCTGATGCTGAGTTCTTCATATAGTCCAGCTTCTCAGATTATTTGCTCAGCATACGGAATGAATAGGTATGGTGAAAGGATGCAACCCTGATACGCACCTTTCCTGACTTTAAACCATGCAGTATCCCCTTGTTATGTCCAAACAACTGCCTCTTAATCTGTGTACAGGTTCCTCATGAGCACAATTAAGTGTTCTGGAATTCCCAATCTTCCCAATTTGTTATCCATAATTTGTTATGATCCACCCAATCGAATGCCTTTGCATAGTCAGTAAAACAAAGGTAAACATCTTTCTGGTATTCTCTGCTTTCAGCCAGGATCCATCTGGTATCAGTAATAATATCCCTGGTTCCATGTCTTTTTCTGAATCTGGCCTGAATTTCTGGCAGTTCCCTGTTGACATACTGCTGCAGCCACTTTTGAATAATCTTCAGCAAAATTTTACTTGCGTGCGATATTAATGATATTGTTCGATAATTCCCACATTTGGTTGGATCACCTTTCTTGGGAATAGGCATAAATATGGATCTCTTCCAGTCGGTTGGCCAGGTAGCTGTTTTCCAAATTTCTTGGCATAGATGAGTGAGCACTTCCAGTGCTGCATCCGTTTGTTAAAACATCTCAATTGATAGCCTGTCAATTCCTGGAGACTTGTTTTTCGCCAATGCCTTCAGTGCAGCTTGGACTGCTTCCTTCAATACCATCAGTTCCTGTTCATATGCTACCTCTTGAAATGGTTGAACATCGACCAGTTCTTTTTGGTATAATGACTCTGTATTCCTTCCATCTTCTTTAGATGCTTCCTGCATCGTTTAGTATTTTTCCCCGTAGAATCCTTCACTATTGCAACTCAAGGCTTGAATTTTTTTCTTCAGTTCTTTCAGCTTGAGGAATGCCGAGCATGTTCTTCCCCTTTGGTTTTCTATCTCCAGCTCTTTGCATGTGTCATTGTAATACTTTACTTTGTCTTCTCGAGCTGCACTTTGAAATCTTCTGTTCAGTTCTTTTACTTTGTCATTTCTTCCTTTTGCTTTAGCTACTTGATGTTCAAGAGTCTCTTCTGACATCCATTTTGGTCTTTTCTTTCTTTCCTATCTTTTTAATGATCTCTTGCTTCATGTGTGATGTGCTTGATGTCATTCCACAACTCATGTGGTCTTCGGTCATTAGTGTTCAACTCGTAAAATCTATTCTCGAGATGGTGGGATATACTCAAGGTTGTACTTTTGCTCTCGTGGACTTGTTCTAATTTTCTGCAGTTTCAACTTGAGCTTGCATATGAGCAGTTGATGGTCTGTTCCACAATCAGCCCCTGGCCTTGTTCTGACTGATGATATTGAGCTTTTCTGTCATCTCTTTCCACAGATGTAGTCAATTTGATTCCTGTGTATTCCATCTGGCAAGGTCCATGTGTATAGTCGCCGTTTATGTTGGTGAAAAAAGGTATTTGCAGTGAAGAAGTCATTGGTCTTGCAAAATTCTATCATGCGATCTCTGGCATTATTTCTATCACCAAGGCCTTATTTTCCAACCATTGTTCCCTCTTCCTTGTTTCCAACTTTCGCATTCCAATCACCAGTAATTATCAATGCATCCTGATTGCGTGTTCAATCAATTTCAGACTGCAGAAGTTGGTAAAAATCTTCAATCTCTTCAACTTTGGCCTTAGTGGTTGGTATGTAAATTTGAATAATAGTCACATTAAGTGGTCTTCCTTGTAGACATATGGATATTATCCTATCACTGGTAGCGTTGTACTTCAGGATAGCTGTTGAAATGTTTTTTTGATGATGAATGCAATACCATTCCTCTTCAAGTTGTCATTTCCGGCATAGTAGACCATATGGTTGTCCAATTCAAAATGGCCAATACCAGTCCATTTCAGCTCACTAATGCCTAGGATATTGATGTTTATGTGTTCCATTTCACTTTTGACGATTTCCAATTTTCCTAGATTCATACTTCATACATTCCACGTTCTGATTATTAATGGATGTTTGCAGCTGTTTCTTCTCATTTTGAATCATGCCACATCAGCAGATGAAGGTCCCAAAAGCTTGACTCCATCCACGTCATTAAGGTCGACTCTACTTTGAGGTGACAGCTCTTCCCCAGTTGTCTTTTGAGTGCCTTCCAGCCTGAGGGGCTCATCTTCTGGCACTATATCAGACAGTGTTCTGCTGCTATTCATAATGTTTTCACTGGCTAATTCTTTTCAGAAGTAGACTACTGGGTCCTTCTTCGTAGTCTGTCTTAGTCTGGAAACTCAGCTGAAACCTGTCCACCATGGTGACCCTGCTGGTATCTGAATACTGGTGGCATAACTTCCAGCATCACAGTAACATGCAAGCCCCCACAGTAGAACAAACTGCATTAGTCATTAGAGAAATGCAAATCAAAGCCACAAAGAGCTACAACTACACCGCCACTAGGATGGCAATTATCAGAAAAAATAGAAAATAACAAGTGTTGGCAGGGATGTGGAGAAACTGGAACCCTTGTCCATTGCTATAGGAGCCCTGGTAGTGCAGTGGTTAAGCACTCTGCCACAGCTCAAACCCACCAGCCACTCCATGGGAGAAAGATGTGGCAGTCTGCTTCGGTAAAGATTACAGCCTTGGAAACCCTATGGGGCAATTCTACTCTGTCCTATTGGGTCGCTGGAGTCGGAATCAACAGCAACGGGTTTAATTTGACTTTGGTTTGTCCATTGTTGGTGGGACTGTAAAATAGTGCAACCACTGTGGAAAACAGTTTGGAGGTTCCTCAAAAAGTTTCTACATCATTAAAAAAAATGCAGATTCCTGAACCCGATCCTAGGCCCACTGAATCAGAATCTCCTGGGAAAGGGTCCAGGGTTTGTTTGTTTGTTTTTTTTTAATAAACTTTTTATTTTGGAATAATTTTCGATTTTACAGAAAGGTTGCAAATATAGGTCAGAGTTCTTATATACCCTTGACCTTTTTTCCCTCATTGTTAATATCTTACATTTTCACGGTACATTTGTTAAATCTAAGCAACTAACACTGGTACATTACTATTAACTAACCTCCAGACTTGCTTTGAAATTCTCCAGTTTTTTCACTAATGTCATTTTTCTGTTCCAGGACAGAACAGAAAAGGACATTAAATCCAGGATCTCTTCAAGATCCCACATTGAATTTAGTTGTGATGTCCCCTTAGCATCCTCTGGTCTGTGTAGTTTCCCAATCTGTTTTTTTTCTCCCAGTTTCTACATGTACCATTTAGTGACATTGATGGCATTCTTTGAGTTATGTAACCATTCTCACCCTCCTTTTCTGAGTTGTTCCTCCCTCATTAATATAAATTCACTGCCCCCTAAGGTTCCTGTTTAATCTTTCACATTGCTGTTATCAATTTGATCCCATATAGATAGTTCTTAAAAGAGCATAATGCTCAAGGCAGACATTTTTTACTAGTTAAACTATTGTTTGGTTTTAAGAAGACTTCAGGAATATTTTTGGTTTAAGGTTTAAAGATTATCTCAGGGCCATAGTTTCAGGGGTTCGTCTACCCTTCATTTCTCCAGGGAGTCTGGAGTCCACGAGAATCTGAAATTCTGTTCTGCATGTCACCCCTTTTGATCAGGATTCTTCTACAGAATTTTCGATCAGAATGTTTAGTAATGGTAGCCGGGCACATCCAGTTCTTCTGGTCTCATGGCAAAGGAGGCAGTTGTTCTTAGAGGCAATTTGCCACACATTCCATACCCTCTTCCTATTCCTGACTCTCTTTCTTCCTCTGTTGCTCCAGGGAAATAGAGACCAATTATTGTGCCTTGGATGGCTGCTTGCAAGCTTTTAAGACTCCAGGCACTACGCAAAGAACAAGGAGGTAGAATAGAAGCACTAAACACGTTATTAGGCCAGTTAACTGGGATGTCCCATGAAACCATGACCCTAAACCTCCAAACCAAGGAACCAAATCCCATGAGGTTTTCAGTTGTACATAAGCAGCATCAGGGTCCAGGATTTTTTTAACATACATTTGTAACAAGTATTTTTAACAATTGCCCCAGATGATTCTTATGATTTGATAAGTTTTGGAGACATTGCACGATAGGATTCTTTTAGTGTAGCAACTCTTCTAATATCTTTGAAATACAATTTATTCTCTAAAAATCCAATTTAAAAGACTCTAGGAACACATGGGATAGGCAAATCTAGGCACCTTCTAAGAGTACAGCCCTGCCAACTCAAGACCTATGAAAAGGTTCTATGAATGCCTAAGTGCTGGCTAAGGTGAGGAATTGAAGATCAGTGACACCTCCCTCTCTCTGGCTCTGTTTTCCCACAGGTGGCTTGCATTTCGACTGGAGCTGGTTGGAAGCCTGATAGTCTTCTTTGCATCCCTGTTGATGGTTATTTATAGAGATACTCTGAGTGGGGACACTGTGGGCTTTGTTTTGTCCAATGCACTTAATGTGAGTCTGAAGGTTGAGAGTTCAGTTATACTTATTCTTAAATTGAGTCTGGAGTATACGATGGAGTCCGTGCTCTTTATTCATTTCTAGATCCAGAGGGACTGGGGGAGACCAAAGTTCAAACCCTGGCTCCATCTCTTAGTAATTGTGTAACTTGTAGACATGCCCCTTAGCCTTTCTAAATAAGCATCAGCATCATCTGAAAAATGGACATAAATTTTGTTGCTCTTGGAACTTAGGGCAATTTCAAAGAGTTCAATCAAATACCTCCCTGCCTCTGCCTTTTTGCCTTGTCCTTGTCGAAAGAGAGTAAGTTTCTTCTCCAGAATATAGCAATAACCAGAAAGTCTATTAAACAAATAACTTTTGTGTTTGTTTTTCTTGGATCACAGAACAATTGGAGCTAATTTTAACTTAAAAAACATAGGATCTGATGAAACTATATAATGCTTCTCACTGCAGCACCCCCAGCATGACCAGGGGAAAAGTTAGACATTATTTATTTCCTATCACCTAGCACCACAGTAAATTTTCAATAAGTATTTGTTCAATGAATGAACAATCATGAGTCATTTGGCCATTTTTCATGACACCCTTTTGAACTAATATGTTGGAGGTTTACATAGCTGCAAGTGAGATTTATACAGTCCTGTCTTCAGTAGGAGTTAATAAGGCCCTACATGATCATACCAGGGCATCCAAAAGGACTGTTATTCACCAGAGTCACTGTGTTCCTTGTGCCACTGCCCCTTCACCACCTCATTTCTAGGGTAATTAACTTAGGATAGAGGAGGCAATAAGTCAAGGAACTATTAGGTTGAACCAAAACAAAAACATTCAAATATCAAGTTACATATGCTTCCACTTATACAGAGTGGTTACTCTTAGTTCCCACAATCCTATCCCCTGAAATCTGTACTCTCCCTCTTCTAATGACCGTTTGCTTGACAAATACTTTCTGTGCATATGTGCCAGGTGCTGAGTCTCTGCCTGAAAGAAGCTTGCATATTAGTAAGCCACAGATTTCCCGGTGTGTAGACTGGCCCGGATCATGACAACCCTTTAATGGTGGATTAGATGTAGCTTTGTAATGGCAGGGAGACACCTAGAGTTTATGAGGGTGAAATAGGATAAGGCTCCATGTAGATGTGCCCACCTTGAGGGCTTAGTTCTCAATCAAGCTGTTGTTGAGTGAGAGCAGAGAGGGGAGGTGGCCCTTTGGAAGGCTTTTTCCTATTGTGTCTTTTCTCATGCTCTTCCCCACTTGCAGAATGCCATCCTCTCTGCTCTCCACAAGCAGCACTAGGCCTAGAGGCAGGAGGCCTGAGTTTTGGTCCCACTCCACTGATAACTAGCCTGTCCCAACCCCAGCTTTAGCTCCAAACCATTCCAAGCGCATATTGTCCTTCACGAGAGCACCACACAATTGAGCACTAATTGTTCAACAGGCATTTGATGCACTAGTCTTATTTCCTCTCTTGTTTTATACTTAATCTCCCACAGAGCCCAGCCCAGTGCTGGATACAAAATAGGCATGGGATTGACCTGTGGTTTGACTGGTTGAGTTGGTTTCTAAGCCCAAGGTGAACTTCAGTCTTCTGATTTTTTTGTAGATCACACAAACCCTGAATTGGTTAGTGAGGATGACGTCAGAAATGGAGACCAACATTGTAGCTGTTGAGAGAATAAATGAGTACATAAAAGTGGAAAATGAGGTGAGGAGGAATTAGGGAAACCCAGGGACAAGACAAAAAAAGGTACAACTCCTTCAAGAGAATATCTTCATCTTGTCTAGAGATTTCACATTGGTGATAAACGTTCTCCTAAAGTTTCCCTTGCTCTTGCTCTAACTCAGAGGACCTAATTTCTTCAAACTTAGAACAGGAAATAGATTGGAGGAAGTCAGGTCTTAGAATGCACCAAGTTAAATTGTAGCTTCATTCTGGAGATTCACGGAGCAAGCTCATGGGATGAGGATTCTTTAATTAAATAAGGTAGGAACCTTCCAGGAAGTACAAGTGGACTTTATTCAAGGTAGATGCTCACAGTGCTGCCTTTTTCCTGTGCTGTGACATGAGTCTTAGGGGGACTGTTTGGCTGAGTTGCCACCGTGTAAAGCAGAGTTGCTGTACTTCTCCTCTCTCCTTGCCAGGCACCCTGGGTGACTGATAAGAGACCTCCAGCAGGATGGCCCAGCCTCGGGGAGATCCAGTTTAGCAACTACCAAGTGCGCTACCGACCTGAGCTGGATCTGGTACTGAAAGGAATCACTTGTGACATCAGGAGTGCAGAGAAGGTAGGTGGAGCCACACCTGGGTGTGAGTCCTTGTGAAGGTGATCAGAAAACAAAGCTGGACACAGAGGTGATGAGCAACAGGGCTCTGGGCCTTCATCATTTGGATGACACTAGAGGGTCAGGGCACTTCTCTACCCTGGAGAGCTGGAAGGACACAGTGCCATGGCCAGAGAGCAGGATATTGACAGGGGACCAAACAGACCTACTGCAGCTATAAGGAGCTTTCTGCTCTGCCCTCCTTACCTCCCTGCTGAGCTCAACCTCTTTCCTCTGCGGTTGACAGAGCTCATTTCCTTGAGGGCCATGGCATGTGAGAGGAAGTCAGGAAGGAAACCAGGAGCACCCGGGCCTCAGGAAGGAGTCTGTGGAGAACAGCAGTGTAGAGGGTTGTCCCCTGGAGAGAGAATGGTCTGGTTCTCCTCCTGGGCTTAAAGTCCTGCACCTTCCTATGATGCTGTTGTTCTCTGAGGACTTGGGGTCTGATGTAGGATCAAAGAAAGTCTGGGAAAGGATGTTGTGGTCCAGGTCAAGGCCTGGCTCTCAGCTAACATCAAACCTGATTCTTACTTTCTCCTCACTTCTAAACAAGGATTTTTTAAAAAATGCATAATTTCCAATAATAATGGGGAAAACAATGCTGCTGAGAGAACATGTTGTCCATTTCCAATAGTCACTGGAGTTCTCAACAAGCAAGCAAGGCAGGGTGGGAGGGTCATTTTTTTCTAACATCTGTGCTTTTTTTTTTTTTTTTAAACCAAAACCAAAGTCAATTTAACATCTTCAAGATGAAGTAGCCAGTCACTGCCTCTTACCACCTGTGATTATAAATGCCCCAGGCTAAATAAATTGTTTTTCAAGAATCATGTTGAGCTAACATGCAAAGGAACTGTATTTACAGATTGGTGTGGTTGGCAGGACAGGAGCTGGGAAATCATCCCTTACAAACTGCCTCTTCAGGATCCTAGAGGCTGCAGGAGGCCACATCACCATTGATGGATTAGATATTGCTTCCATTGGGCTCCACGACCTTCGAGAGAAATTGACCATTATCCCCCAGGTGAGCTCTAGACCTTTCTTATGGCACATGCAGTCATGGACAGCTTGTTCTGCAGGATGTGTAGGCATTTTCTTCTTGATGTATATTCAGTTAGCACTGTCATTTCTGCAGTCTACCTAAGATACCTAAGCCAGTTCCCTAAGACACATTGTTTCCAGAACTTAAAAAAAGTTTTGCATTTTTTGTAATATGCTTTTGTGACTGCCAGTATCTAACCAGTAGGTGGCAGCAACATAACAGAAATCCCATAAACATGATTATTTAGCATTTCTATAGTCTATCGCTGTTTGCAAGACGTTGCAATCAGCATTAGCAGTTTTGCTGCTGAAGCTTTAAGCTGTTAAGCTTTATCCTCCCCATTTGGTGTGGCTAAAAGATAGGGGAGGGGATTTGCTGCAGGTTTCTACCGGCAAGCGGAACGGTTAGTGCATCAGCAAGAAAGACTCCCCTTGGCTGCTTCTCTGGAGTTGCGATGGAGTTTGGGTTTGTCTCGTGTTTGCTCAGATACACTTTTTCTTCCAGCCTCTTCAGAAGTATAATGCATTCTTCTTAAACGGTTTGTGCTCTCCCTTTCTACCCTCCCCTGATCCCTCCACCTTCAAACATGAGTTTTCATCAAGGCCTTTGGGACATTCCTCTCCCTTAAGAGAGGATTTTCAAACTTGCAAGGTTTGAAAATCCATGAATGAGTCTCAGAATGAAAAAACAAAAAACAAACCAGCAAGGACTCCTCTTAATCCTGTGCTTAGCTCCTGGTATTGCAGCCACTCCAAGCCCTCAGTGGGGAAGCCTTGCAGAAGTTTGACTACCAGCCAGCTTTCCCTCTTGGGCAGTCCTAGCCACCATTTCTCCTGGCCACGAGGAACTACTAGTTCCTTTTCTGACACTAGCCTCAACAGACCCTTATCTCTCGGCTTGCAGGACCCCATCCTGTTCTCTGGAACCCTGAGGATGAATCTGGACCCTTTCAACAGCTACTCAGATGAGGAGATTTGGAAGGCCCTGGAGCTGGCTCATCTAAAATCCTTTGTGGCGGGTCTGCAGCTCGGCTTGTCCCATGAGGTGACAGAAGCTGGTGACAACCTTAGGTAATGCTTCATAACCCATGTCCCTCACAGGCCGTGAGAGGATGTGAGGGGACCACTCCTCATATTCCTTGTGCTAGGCGACACCTTGCTTCATAGAATTTCAGCTATCCTGGTCTATTTCCTAATGTGTAAAATGAAACAATTGTGAAGCTGAAAATGATAAAATAGATGTGAAAGTGCTTTGAAAATCTTGAAAGCCTTTCTTTTTAAATGTACCTTGTACATTTAAAACCAGTTCCTGTGACATTATGCCATGTGGATTTACAGATCATGCTGTTGTGGAGAATCATAGAAAGCAGAGGTTTTCAACTTGGCTGCACACTAGAGTCTGGATTAAAACAATCCCGATGCCTGGTCCAACCCTCAGAGAGTCTGATTTAATTGATATGAGGTGCAGCCTGGGTCTGGGGAGTTTGAAAAGATCTCCAGGGGATTGTTATAAGCATGGAGTCTGAGAATCACTGACCTAAAGGCTGTGCAGATGACAGGGAAAGTAGTTTCTGCAAAGTCCTTGGGGAGTGTTGAAACATGTTAAATCAGCACAATGACTCTTGAGTCACAGTCCTTTTTACCTTTTCAAAGCATTTTTAAACATAGGTGACACATCATACTTCTAGCCTTCACTATGTGTTTACCTGTCGGTTAATGAGTTGGCCTGGCATTTTCCCTACAACAGTTTGGTTTTTACCTTCACACACTGCAGTCAGCCCTCAGCCAAAGCCGGCTGCTCATGGAAGGGTCTTGCTTGACTTCCAGGTGCCACTCAGCAATGGCGAACAGAGGATGGACCATTAGCAGTTGAAGCTCAGGAAGAAAGGGAGGGCTCAGTAGCTCAGTTAGTGGACCAGCGGCATTGGCTTCACCAGGGAGCTTGTTATAAATGCAGACTCTCAGGCCCTAAGCTGCGTAATCAGAGTCTGCACTGTAGCGAGAGATCCTGTGATTTGTGTGCACATTACAGTTTGAGAAGTGCTGCCTGGAGTGTTGATTCTTAGCTAGGCTGCACACTAGAATCACCTGAGAAGCCGTAAAAACTCGCAATGCCCAGGTGTACACCAGACCAGTGGAACCAGGGACCCAGGCGATTTCAGTGTGCAGCCCTAGGGAACACCAGTAAGCTGTGGTGTATACTGCCATCATTTTTGTTTTCCCTCAATGACAAATCTAGGAACTAGTGGGCCCTAAGGTCTTTGGGCCTGTGAAAAAGAAACTATTCAAACATTCAGTCAATAAATCTATATTGAACACCTACTATGTGCCAGGCACTGGAGGTACAGAGGCAAATGACACAGATAACACTTACAGTGTAATGGAGAAGACGGACCTGGTTCGTAAGAACAAAAAGCTCACCACACCTCCCTTGTCCGTGCTGGGAGACTCTTAAATGATACTGCCAGTGCCTTCATTTCAGACCTGGGGTTCAGACCTGGTTTGGGAGGTTGAAACTTAGATTTCTCTGATAAGTGCTGGGTCATTAGCCTGGAGAGAGAGACAGCCACTGAAAAGCCAAGCCAGTGTCTCAGTAACAGCCTATCACCGTGAAGTCCAGCGACCGATGTAGGAGCTGGGTAAAGTTCACTAAGTAGTTTTGCAGTGTCCGTCTTCCTACATTACAGAGAGAAAGTGGAGGTTCATCTTGGATCACTTCTCATCTCCTGCAGAATTTTTCTTACAGAGAATTACAGAACTTTAGTCTAGCCACCCCGTTTAATATGCTTTCTAATGGTCACAGCAGGAAAGAGCAATTAGCAAATTCCTGAGTACTTCCTTCACATCATTTCCCAAAGCTTCTTTATGTAAGTAAGAGGTCCAACCTTCATTAGGGGCTTTTAGCAAATTAAAGCTATTTGCATTTTACAAGCATATTCAAATTTCACATACATTGCATCTCACACCAAGACACCGTGTTCATTAGATAGCTTCATCTCTAATCAAGGCAGAAGGCTTTAAACAAATAATTAGCCTTGAAACTAGAATCACACATTAAAATAACAAATGGATTTGCAAAGGCCACTATGAAATGCCACTGGGGCATTCTGGTGTGGTATCAGTCTGTATTAATGGTGTCAGGGTAACGCTGTCAGATACTACTAAAGTGAACCTAGTGGCATTAATGTTGTTTCTGGAGCTGTGGTTGATGTACTGGAATATCACTGTAGCCAAATGCAAAGTACTGTTCCTGGGCCAGTGTTTTCCAAACTTGTTTGAACATGAAAATCTCTTGGGGGTGCTTATTAAAAATACTCACTCCTAGGCTCCTTCCCAGTTGAGACTGAGACCCAGAAATCTGAATTTTTTATTAAGTGACTGTGGTGAGTCTTCTAATTGGGGAAGTTTGGAAAACATTGCCTGTGACAATGAAATTGAAGTGGCTAAGGCATTCTGGGGGAATTTAGGAGTAGGGGTTTGGAAAATCTGATCTGGAACATGAGAAGTGTCCCCCATCCACAAGCCCAGGTTACTCCTTGGTCTAACGCTTGGTTTCCATTATTGGTTTCCAGCATAGGGCAGCGGCAGCTACTGTGCCTGGGCAGGGCTCTGCTGCGGAAATCCAAGATTCTGATCATGGACGAGGCCACTGCTGCGGTGGATCTAGAGACAGATCACCTCATTCAGATGACCATCAAAAATGAGTTCTCCCAATGCACAGTTATCACCATTGCCCACAGGCTGCACACCATCATGGACAGCGATAAGTGAGTGAAGGGTGGGACAGAGCTCAATAGACATGGTTTAACCCTTTGTCAGCAGTAATAGTGTCAGCTATGAGATCCTTACAGCATAAGCTTTAACCACCTAATTTTACTGATGAAGAAACTGAGGCCTAGAGATGTCAAGTAATTTGTCAAAAATTATACCGAAAGTTAATGAAAGCTAACAGGGTTAAGGGAACTACCTTAAAAATGAAATAGGAAATTATATGTAATTATTAACTGAGTGGCGTGTCTGGGTGGTGCAAACAGTTAACACACTAGACTACTAACTGAAAGGCTGGATGTTGTGTTCACCCAGAGTCTTCTAGGAAGAAATGCCTGGTGATCTACTTTGGAAAAATCAGCTGTTGAAAACCCTATGGAGCACAGTTTTACTCTGACACACATGGGGGGTGCCATGAGTTGGGATCAGCTTGATGGCAACTGGTTTATTAACTGAGTATGGGGAGATGGAAGCCAAAGCCACTAGTGGCAAGTGTGGACAATAGACCTTCTCAAGTTTCCCAAGCCTCGGCTGCTGCCTCCATAAAATTACTAGAAGCCTTCTGTCTCTTCCAACTCTGACATTACAATTCAAAATGGGCACATCATCAGTAATCTTACAAAACCATTTGGAGAAGATAGGCTCCCTTTTTTGACCAGGGTGCAATGGGTCTTTCCTGGTTATTCTTATAAATGCTGTGATTTGAGATGCTACTTTCTAAGACTTTTCTTTCTTCCTTGTTTCAGGGTCATGGTCCTAGACAATGGGAAGATTATAGAGTATGGCAGCCCTGAAGAACTACTGAAAAACCCCGGCCCCTTTTATTATATGGCCAAGGAATCTGGCATTGAAAATGCAAACAGCACAGCATTCTAGCAGCAGATCCCAAGGATTAGAGGACTAAAAGGATCATTCCTCGTTTTTATTTTTTGTGAAATATAAAAGTGTATAAAATGTACATTTTGAAGAAAGATAATAAATGAACACCCACGTACCCACTACCCAGGTTGGGAAAATGAGTATTCCCAGGTGCATCAGAAACCCTCTAATTGCCCCCTCTTGGTCATACCTCGTTACCCAGCCTTCCCAGAGATAACCGCTGTTCCAAATTCTGTGAGCATTATTCCCTAGCTTTTCATTTTAGTTTTTTTGCCTGTGTGTATCCTTAAAAAAATGTATACTTTAAAAAAAAAACAAAAACGTATATAAATGTACTCATACTGCATGTATTCTTCTATGACTTGATTCTTTTGTTTAATATTATATTTGAGATTCATCTATGCTGATGTATATTGCTGAGGTTCATTCATTTTCATTGCTGAGGTTCGTTCATTTTCAATGCTATATTTTCATACTTGGTATTGTAAGAATACGCCACAATTGAACCATCTTAATGTTGGTGAGCATCAGGGTTATTTCTAGTTTTTTTTTTTTTCTTTTCTCCCTATTATGAACAATACTGCTATGAATATTCTGGCATGTATCTTCTGGGATACATGTGCAAGAGTTTCTCTAGGGTATACTCTAGGAATGGAGGTATACACATGTTTACATGCACATCTTGTTGTTAGGTGCTATGGAGTCGGTTCTGACTCACAGCAACCCCATGTCAACAAAACGAAACACTGCCCGGTCCTGCACCATCTTCACAATCGTTGCCATGTTTGAGCCCATTGCAGCCACTGCATCAATCCATGTTGTTGAGGGTCTTCCTCTTTTTTGCTGACTCTCTACCATGTCATGGATTTAATCGTGTCCCCCAAAAATATGTGTCAACTTGGCTAGGCCATAATTCCCAGTATTGTGTGGCCGTCCTCCATTTTGTGACCTGATGTAATTTTCCTCTGTTGTAAATCCTAATCTCTGCCTGTGGTTAATGAGGCAAGATTAGGTTATGTTAAAGAGGATTAGTGTGGAATGCAACACCTTTACTCAGGTCACAGCCCTGATCCAATGGAATGGGAGTTTCCCTGGGGTGTGGCCTGCATCACCTTTCATCTTACAAGAGATAAAAGGAGAGAGAAGTGAACAGAGATGGGGACCTCATGCCACAAAGAAGGAGGCACCAGGAGTGGAGCAAATTCTTTGGACTCGGGGTCCCTATGCTGAGAAGCTACTAGACGAGGGGAAGATTGATGACGAGGACCTTCCCCAAGAACCAACAGAGAGAGAAAGCCTTCCCCTGGAGCTAGCTCCCTGAATTTGGACTTCTAGCTTCCTAGACTGTGAGAGAATACATTTCTGTTTGTTAAAGCCATCCACTTGGGGTATTTCTGTTATAGCAGCACTAGATAACTAAGACACTAAGCATGATGTCCTCTCCAGGGACTGGTCTCTCTTGATAACACATTCAAAGTATGTGAGACAAAGTCTCACCATCCTCAATTCTAAGGAATATTTGGCCATCCTTTTTTCAAGACAGATTTGTTCCTTTGTCTGGCAGTATATGGTATATTCAATATTCTTCACCAACACCATAATTCAAAGGCATCAATTTTTCTTCGGTCTTCCTTAGTCATTGTCTATCTTTTGAAAGCATATGAGACAATTGAAAATACCATGGCTTGGATCAGGTGTACCTTAGTGCTCAAAGTGACATCTTTGCTTTTTAACACTTTAAAGAGGTCTTTTGCAGCAAATTTGCCCAATGCAATATGTCTTTTGATTTCTCGACTGCTGCTTCCATGGGTGTTGACTGTGGATCCAAGTAAAATGCAATCCTTGACAATTTCAGTCTTTTTTCTCCGTTTATCATGATGTTGCTTATTGGTCCAGTTGTGAGGGCTTTTCTTTATATTGAGGTATAATCCATACTAAAGGCTGTAATCTTTGATCTTCATCAGTAAGTGCTTGAAGTCTTCTTCACTTTTCAGCAAGCAAGGTTGTGTCATCTGCATGTCGCAGGTTGTTAATGAGTCTTCCTCCAATCTTGGTGCCACATTCTTCTTCATATAGTCCAGGTTTGTTCAGCACACAGATTGAATAAGTATGGTGAAAAGATACAACCCTGACACACACCTTTCCTGATTTTAAACCATGCAGTATCCCCTTTGAATAATTGCCTCTTGGTCTATATACAGGTTCCGTATGAGCACAATTAAATGTTCTGGAATTCTCATTCTTTCTCAATGTTATCCATAATTTGTTATGATCCGCATGGTCGAATGCCTTTGTATAGTCAATAAAACACAGGTAAACATCTTTCTGGTATTCTCTGCTTTCAGATCCATTTGACATTAGCAATGGTATCCCTCGTTCCACATCCTGTTCCTAATCGAGCTTCTATTTCTGGCAGTTCCCTGTCAATGTACATCAACGTACTGCTGCAACCGCTTTTGAATTATTTTCAGCAAAATTTTACTTGTGTGATATTAATGATATTCTTCAATAATTTCCACATTCTGTTGGGTCACGTTTCTTTGGAATGGGCACAGATACGGGTCTCTTCCAGTAGGTTGGCCAGGTAGTTGTCTTCCAAATTTCTTGGCACAGATGAGTGAGCACTTCCAGCACTGCATTTTTTGTTGAAACATCTCAGTTGGTATTCCGTCAATTCCTGGAGCCTTGTTTTTCACCAGTGCCTTCAGTGCATCTTGGACTTCCTCCTTCAAAATCATTGATTCTTGATCATGTGCTACCTCCTGAAATGGCTGAACATCAACCAAATCTTTTTGGTACAGTGACTCTGTGTATTCCTTCCATCTTCTCTTGATGCTTCCAGCGTCATTCAATCTTTTGTGCATAGAATCCCTCAATATTGCAGCTCGAGGCTTGAATTTTTTCTTCAGTTCTTTCAGCTTTAGAAATGCCAAGCGTGTTCTTCCCTTTTGGTTTTCTAACTCCAGGTCTTTGCACATTTCCTTATAGTACTTTACTTTGTCTTCTCAAGCTGCCCTTTGAAATCTTCAGTTCCAAGTTCTTTTACCTCTTCATTTCTTCCATTTGCTTTAGCTACCGTGTGTTCAAGAGCAAGTTTCAGAGTCTCTTCTGACATCCATTTTGGTCTTTTTTTTCTTTTCTGTCTTTTTAATGATTTTTGTTTTCCTCACGTATGATGTCCTTGATGTCATCCCACAACTCGTCTGGTCTTTAGTCATGTGTTCATTGTGTCAAATCTATTCTTGAGATGGTCTCTAAATTCAGGTGGGATATACTCGAAGTCATACTTTGACCTTGACTCATCTGTCAGTTTGTCATACTGTGGTGGCTTTCGTGTTGCTGTGATGCAGGAAGTTATGCCACCAGTACTCAAATACCAGCAGGGTCACCCATGGTGGACAGGTTTCAGTCAATCTTCCAGACTAAGAAAGACTCGGAAGAAGGGCCTGGAAGTCTACTTCTGAAAAAATTGGCCAATGAAAACCTTATGGATAGCAGCAGAACATTGTCTGATATAGTGCCAGAAGATGAGCCCCTCAGGTTGGAAAGCACTCAAAATATGACTGAGGAAGAGCTGCCTTCTCAAAGTAGACTTGACTTTAATGTGCGCATGGAGTAAAGGTTTCGGGACCTTCATTTGCTGATGTGGCAAGACTCAAAATGAGACGAAACAGCTGCACTAATAATAATGCAGAACATGGAATGTAAGACGTATGAATCAAGTAAAATTGAAGGTTGTCAAAAATGAAATGGAACACTTGAAGATCGATATCCTTAGCATTAGTAAGCTGAAATGGACGGGTATTGGCCCTTTTGAATCAGACAATCATACGGTCTACTATGTCAGAAATGACAAATTGAAGAGGAACGGTTTCACATTAATCATCAAAAAGAACATTTCAAGATCTATCCTGAAATACAGCTCTGTCAGTGATAGGATAATATCCATACACCTACAAGGAAGACCAGTTAATACGAATATTAGTTCAAATTTACACACCAACCACTGATGCCAAAAGATGAAGAAACTGAAGATTTTTACCAACTTCTGCAGTCTGAAATTGATCCAAAATGCTATCAAGATGCATTGATAGTTATTGGTTTTTTTTGGAATGCAAAAGTTGGAAACGAAGAATGATTGGTAGTTGGAAAATATGACCTTGGTGACAGAAACAACACGGGAGATTGCATGATAAGATTTTGCAAGCCCAATGATTTTTTTCATTGGAAATACATTTTTTCAACAACATAAACAATGACTGTATACATGGACCTCACTGGATGGAATATTTGGGAATCAAATCAACTCCCTTTGTGGAAAGAGATGATGGAGAAGCTCAATATCATCAAGATCTCCAGGTTTCAGAAGCCTAAGCTTTGGCTCTTCCTTACCTCTCAGGACTTTTTGTGTCATTTATCTGAGTCAGCATATTCCTTACTTCCATTTAAGTGATGCAATTATGGAAGATTTTGATTTATCCAGCGTTTTAGCTGTTTATTGAGCAAGATGCCCAGAGCACTTACATTGCCTAAAAGAAGGGTATACAGATAGAATGACCATATGCTTTGCCTTGCACAGTTCCAGGTTACATCTGTTGTCCTAGTGTAACTAATAGCTCCTCTTCCACTCTAAAAAAGTGTCTAGTTTGGATGCTAAAATTGTGTGGTCCTCCTATATCTAACCTGTTGCCGTTGAGTAAATTCCAACTCATATAGCGACCCTATAGGACAGAGTAGAACTGCCCCATAAGGTTTCCAGGGAGTGGCAGGTAGATTCAAACTGCCAACCATTTGGTTAGCAGCCTGAGCTCTTAGCCACTGTGCCACCAGGACTCAGGGCTCCTCTATCTAGCCCTTGTGAATTAGATTTCAGTTCACAACTTTGTCTAATTTTGTTAGGTTCTGCCAGTAGGAGGTGCTAGAGACAGCAAGGCTAGCTGGAAGGGATGAGAGTTCCTTCCTATTTGCTTCTGTTCCCATCAGGATCACTCTAACGTTTCTCACCCCTACTGTGGCAGTTCACACACGTAGCAGCACTAATTTTAGTTAGCAGTTTTTCAAACACTCATAGAACCAGTCTCATTGTGCCCCCTCAGAGACACCAGCAGCAGCCAGCTGGCACCCTCTCCTCAGAGCTCTGTAGCCCAGACTTGTGGGGTTCCTCTTCTGAGGTCAGAGACAACCAGCACCAGATGAGAGGTGCCCTCTTTTCAGAAATCCAGATTTTAGCTTTGCAGGGCCTCTCATAAATTTTAGTAATTCCAGCTTCTTCCCTTTGTTCCCCCAGCCCTAATGGTGATAGTTGCTACCTCTGTGATACTTTTCCTTTTCAGCTCTCTTCAATGCCTAGTTAACAATTCTTTACATTGTTCTCTGTTAAAATAACCTATGGTTTCTATCTCCTGACTGGCCCTACTGACAGAGCCACTGGAGATAATG